TAAACGTTACAATAAGAGATCAAAGAAAATTCTTACTCGGTTAGGTTTGTTCAATATGTGAAATGGATGATTTTAATAGAGCAGGGACAGAAGCTGGAAGGACTTTTCGAGCGTTTTATTAAGAGGAACAGCACATTATTCTCAAAAAAAAAGAAAAGCTTAAAATAGGATAAATTGAACGTGAATTAAAAGACAGATAAAAGTTTATCAGGCTAGCAAATTTTAACAAACGTTCTTGCAACTGGCTGTTAGACGCGTAATTCAATGAGTTAGTTCCTGAGATTTTAATTTAAATACCTATTATAAATGTTTCAATATTCCTAATTTACGGTTGACTCTTTTTTTACATTTTTCTGCTACCTATATGAATTACAATATTTTATATTTAAAAACTAATAAACAATTTTAAAATATATGATACTGGAAATAATGAACATGGATGTTGAAATTCACAGACATTATAGATTAATAAGTTTTCTCAATAGGTTCAATAATATTTATTGGTCAAGTAAACAGTAAAAATTTCAGTACATACCTTTTATAGCATCACCTGGGAATTTAAACAAGTTGTAGCACAATTGCGAACAGCGCACTGTATTGTTTTCACGGCATTAAAACAATCTATTTACTATTTAAATCCAACTACTTAAAAAATATTTACAAAAACCTAATTAGGCATTCCAACGACCTGTCAAACAATAGGTGCCAGTGGGAAATTCTTGTATATTTAAGGGGGTAGCGACATAGTCTTGCAACTTGGACGCTATTTTTATTCGAAGTAGTACTCGCCAAGCCTGCCAATTTATGAAGAAACGTATAGGTGGGTTTTTTAAATATTATTTTTATTGTGTTTGACATAAAATATTTAAATGTAATCCATTATTTATGATTTTACGTAAAGTAGATAGAATACACCATATGTCGCCACCCTTAGATATACCAAACCTGCCCACTGGTAATTCATTTGTTTGGAATGCCTAATAATATTCGATCATGTATTAGGATAGATACGCCTTACCTGTGGAAGTAATGGGTTTAATGATTATCTAGACGGGGAGAGAGGAAAGGTATACAAACGGAGAACTTAGCAGTGCCGTACCGTATGGACGGGGTTATATATTGTTAATTACTATAAAATGTTAGATGAAAGCGGATGGACATGATTTTAAAAATATTGTTTTATAGCGTATATTTTTAACTTTCAATGTAAGAATAGTTTTTCACAGTATTGTGATACTACATAGATCATGCACAGGCTTGTCATATTGTATATTATTTACTCAATTTTATAGGATTATTAATTTTGTACTTTAAACAATTTGTATACATTTTGAGTAAATATACCTACTATAAAGCTTGGCCGATAAAGGAGAAAAGAAAATAAAAAAATATTGTGAAGAACCCATTCTATATGTGAAGCAAGAATATTATACATATTTCTGACTACATACCTTCCTTTATGAAATAAAATAAAGACCAATTAAAGCATTTTATTTATCAACCAAAAATAGTTATACACAAATAATAATAATAATAATAATACTCTACCTAATTACAGAGATTAATAAACTTTATTATTTACAAAGTACTGTAGCAAAATTTTGCCGTACACAAGTTAGAGGGAACAGAAGAAATATTGGCATTGTGTTTGTTCTCTATTTTAACAATTCTGACAATGCATGAAGTGGTGTGACTAATTTAAAATGGGTAGCGTCGATTGACATTTTCTGATATTTTTAAATAACTATAATAAGAATCCCTTATTTAAAATGGTTTTATTTGGATCAATGGCTATTTTTTAAAAATTTAAATGCAAATAAAAACCTACAATAAATAGGTACATATTATATATAATTAAAAATAAGCTTCAAGATTTATTTTCATTTTTTTAAAATAATATTTAAAGTAGTTCATTCGCAAGACGGCTTTTCTTAAGAGTTCAATAAAATTAAAATATAAGGTTAAAGAAAATGTCTTTTACGTGACTAACAAAAAAAATTTTTTTTGACCGTCTGTGAAACGAGATATTAACAATGAAATTGTGCATAATTAACAGTCATGTACATTAGCAATGCATTTATTTCAAGATATTTCGAAAACAGTTCTTACTATATTTTTTTAAAAACTAATGTAATGTAAATCAAAAAGTGAAATTTTCTAAAAAAACGTTGAATTTTTTGACCGTTTTGGTAAAAGGATAGATTTTTAAAAGAAAAATATGTTTAAAGCAGTCGACGCGTAGTGGGGTGCAATGATTACAACTTGGCAACATTGTTAGTTCAGAATCACTGAATTACACTCGATCAGCTAAGAGGTTGTTATAACCTCGTGAAGTGTTCTTGAAAAATTAATTTGTCTACTGTATTTGAGAACTGGAATCGACGCTTCTGTTTGAACCAAAACAAAACCTTAAAATTAGTATGAGGAAGTCACAAAATTTCTATAGGTATACACTTGATATCGCACCATTCCTATATTTGTGACGTTGCCGGATGGATTTTACTTGAAATAATAACGTATCCGTACATAAGCTTACATGTGTTGTGTTCAGTATCTTACAAAAATAACATTTTTCAGCATTGAGAATCTCAAACTATTGGCGATATTTTTGTGTACGACTGTCGCGCGTGAACTACCTTAATAATTACTACATGTAAACAACTCATTTTAAATTGGTCGGTATTAGATACCATAAGTATTTAGTATATTTACCTGCAGTAAAATTGTTTACTATTCAAAACCCATTGGTTATATTTAGGCAGTACCCCGCGCATATGGGATCATTATTATGTTCCTCCATAATCCAAGGGGGTTTATCGTTTTGATTATTTTGTCATTGTATACTGATATTTCGAAAAAAGAGTCACTTCCATGGTTTTATGCAATATTCAACATTTTAACTGACAGTTGGCAACGTTGTAACCATTTGCAATTATTATACAGGCTCCTTATAAGTGCGAATAATAAACAGTATTTTCATATCAATTTGCTTCTAAATGCCCAATTAAACGAATACATGAATTTCTTAGAATACTGAAGACTTTTACGTAAAAATTATGATGCGATAGATAATTGTACAAAAAAGGTTTACCAAAATATGAGTGGTATGTCACGACGCTTCTGTCAAAAATAAGGGTAGCTTAGATATTAGATTTAAAAGGAGTTTGACATTATGTGTCCGTGTCAACCGCGACCTTTTCAGATCTATTGTGGGACTCCGTTTGTTTTAGAGTATGTCATCTAAGCTTGGACTTTTTTATTAGACTTATTTTCTTTGACAGTTGCATCCACATGCATGTAGTTACATATGTCTGGCTTTTCTTCATCTAGTATAAGAAATCTCAATCTAGTTAGGCTTTCGCATTGGTGCAGGACGTGGATTGATGTTTCCTCTTCTAATTCACAGAACCCGAATAAATTAAAAAAAAAGAATAAATTAGAAAATAATTTAATTTTGTAAAAGAAGTGAAAACTTACTTTTTAGAAGATAAATAAAAAAATAAATACATAGGGAGATTCTACTTCTAGTACACACCAACTACGGTTGCTTATTACATTGTTCTTACTTCTTTTTTGCAAAAAATAAAATGTATACGTGTATTTGATACGCCAAAATTACAAAATATCGCCCTAAAGTGGTCGAATTATCTGCAGCTTGCGCTAGTATCGCTTTTGCTTCCCCTACCATAACTTCGCACTGAGCGAATATAATCATCATACGTTCCCGCATATACATTTTCTATACTACTTCCCTCAACGAAGTATGTACTAAAAAAAATTATGTTTTCAATAATGGGTTAATATAATCAAAAAAGTTTACTTTGTGTTTATTAAACTACAACTGGGAGACAACAGTTCTAAGCTATTTTTCACAGTATTTTAGACCTCAATAACACTTAGTTTCAGAAACGAATTGTTTAACTAGGTGTAAGTAGATTTCAATAAATACTTATAAATTACCTTTTACGTATATCAATACGAAAGTATGTATATAAAGAAACTTGTTTACTTACCCTATTGGCAAAACATTGGATTTCAACTAAAATGTTTGATTTTATTATAGCTAAATAAATCTTCATGTGAAAAGTGATCTGAACAAACTTTGGCATCTTTCAGTTTTGAAATCTTGCTCATTTATTTTCAAGTTGTTCAGCCACAATGACATTAGACAATGTCTCTCAGAAACGTGTAAAACGTATATACCATAAAATAGCCAGTTTCTACTATTAGGTATTTTTATACCAAGAAATAAAAAAAAACCTAGCACAGTTGTTACGCCCATGGATATCTACATTATTTACATTTCATGAGATTGATTTTGACATAACCTACCTGTGAAAATAGCAAGCATTGGTTTTGGGTGTTTTTGGTCCAAAATGTTCGGAAAACTATGCATCTCTTTACTGTTTTGAAATGTATAATCACGTTTGTAAATAATTTCTTTCATATAAATAAATAAAACAAGAATATTTCACTAAAATAAAACACCGAATGACACTTTTAAAAACATACAGAAACAGGGTTGCCAAATGTCCAGTTAAAATATAGTATTTAATGGTTAAACCGATGGATCGTAGTGAACAAAATCTAAAAACATCTAATTTAAACACCGATTCAATGCAGAAGAAAATTAAATGAGAAATTTTATGAATATGATCCAGATTCTTAAAGGAACTGTTAAATATTAAGCTCTATATATTAAGTATTTCGAACCTTAAAACATTGGGAACTAATAATTATTATCCTTATACGTTTAACCGAAAGTGACACTGTGGCAACCTCTGCTGGTACCACAGTTTGTTGTGCATGCGATTGTGGACCTTATTATCATACGACAATTGTTTATGTAAACAAGGCGTATCTATTCCAATACATGATCGAATCTAATAATCATATACCAAACGTCACTTTATATAAAGTGACAGCTATATTTTGACGTTAAAGCTATCGCTACATAATGCACAAGTTCTGTCGCTCAAAATGAGCTGCATTTCCATCATTCATTATGAAATTTGAATCTGACAAGCTGTCACCTACGATTCTTAATAATCATTTCACAAAAATAGGATAATTTCCTTTTATGGGCAGTTTTTCTAAAAGGTATTTAGTACTTATATTCATTTTATCACTGCGGCAGTTAATTTTCTTTCTTTATTTCAGGATATTATCCAAATTAGCCGATAGTCGTAGTGTAACTTATTTTGCCGCCAAAATTTTTAGTTTTAATTTTAATTATAAAGAAAATTATGGACGTAAAAAGAATAAGAAATCTGCGCGTAATTTGAAATGGACTGGAACTATCATTGGAAGTGCATTATTCGGTCTTGGTTTAACTTTTTTTAAACGTAAGTTTAGTTGAATAATTAGAACTATATTTCTATCATCTTTACGTAGCTTGAAGTTTGTTGAGGCGCCTGCGCGATGCGTTTTAAAAAATCTATACAGAGGTGGCTTTAAAAATTTGCGAGAAAAGTTAATGAATTCTCAATAACAAAAATATTAGAAATAAGGTAAGGGGTTGATCCATTAGTCACCAAGAGATAAAATTAAATATTGTATACAGGGTGTGAAAAAAATTAATCTTTATCTATGGGTAAAAACGCTTATAAATTTTTCAAAAATGATTGGTCGTTCAAAATAATATTAGGTATTATAATCGTGTTTTAGATCACCATGAGCCTCATCATAGAGCGGGAATTTTTAAAAGTGGATTACCGTCTTATACAAAAGAAGAAGTTGCTAAACATACCACAAAGTAAGTACCTTGTTTTTATTAAAAAAAAAACACTTTAAAAGTAAGCCATATTTTCAATATTTAAAAATGAAAATAATGGATTTTTTTATTACAGATGTATCTACATTATAAAAAATATAATTCTAATAAAAATATTTTTTGCTTCAATTTAAAACCGAGACATTTTTTTATAGTACAGGAAATAAATTCAAAAATGTCACTTTTTTTATTTGAAAGAAAAAGTTTTGACATAAATGATTCTCAAATTATTAGATTCTTATTTTATTTAAAATTCGGTACGTCAGTTGTTTATATAGAGTGTCTCATATTGATTGACTTTTTACTTGATCAAGAAAATTCTGAAATTAGGATTGCATTTTATTTATAATTTGTAATGTCAGTTTGTTGACTTTTTTGTTGAATAAATAACAATTTTGACAAATAGAAATTCTCCAATTAAAATTAAATTTTATTCGAAATTTTGATTCAAATTGTTATACTGAATGTCCTACATTTTTTTTCAAACTTTGAATTGATTAAAATTTAAAAAACTTTCTTGAAACAAACGTTTTATCATTTTGAACAATTTTTTTTATCATTTATTTAAAATAACAAAATTATTCTACATTGTTTTGAAACAATCATAGCCATTTTTTTGAATCGAAGAAATATTTTTAAGTTGCTAAGGGGAATTTCAACCAATGGTACAGCGTTTACATCTTATAGATCAGTGGTCGCCAACCTCTCAATGTGTTGAGCTACTTTGTTAATTTTGGAATAAACAGCGAGCTACCCACACGGAAGCCACGTAACGCAACGTAAATGAAATAATCCACAGTTAATTTATCATTATATGTATTTATTTTACTATTTAACTGGTAATACATAATACATAGGTACTAATAATAAACTAATAACAAAATAACTAATATTACTAGTACGTTCTTGTTCATAGCTACATTCCTACCTACCAAACGAAGGTGTTTGAAAAATAAACACAAACTTTTATCCAGCCACAACGGCATGTCACGTAAGACTTAAAAATAGTTAATATTAAAAACAAAAAAGTAACGCACTATCATGAACATAAACATTGAAAAATAAAAAAGCACGTTCAATGAAAAGGCTGACACTCAGACTCATCGATAATTTTTTGAATGTTTGCAGTATAATTTGATACAGCTATTCGAATACAATTATCCAAATGTTCATCTGTAAGTCGATTGCGATATTTGTTCTTAATGAACTTCATATTGGAAAAAGAAGATTCACACAAATAGGTTGAACTGAATAATGCTTTCACTTTCAAGGCAACACGGCATAGAACTGAATATTTGTCTTTACTTACAATAGGCCAGATACATTTGGTACTTGAGACTAACGATTTTAAGGCTAAATCATTTTGAAACTCAATTACTTCCATTTCTGTTGCAGCGATGTCTTCGCCAAAGTTCTGCATAACACAAGTTGCAAACTGTTGGATGTCAATTTCCATAAAGGGTGAAACAACAAACTGCGCTACTAAAGCCATTTCGTTGAAATCCTTAAAACAATTTTTGAAGTTATTCTTCAGGGTAGAAACTATTTCTACTTGATATTTGCTGTCATAGGGTTCTAATGGATTATGAGATATTTTTTCTGAAAGAATAGGAAAATGCTTGGCATCGCTGTTAATTAGGTTTTGTTCCCAAAACTCCAGCTTTTTGATAAATGCTTTTATATCAGAAATCATTTCCGCTAGTTCTTTGTCTCTCCCCTGAAGCTGCAAATTAAGTTCGTTTAATTTCTCTGTAATGTCCACAAGAAAACCAAAATCTCTAAGCCAGATTGAATTTTCTAGTTCCGGAGTCGGTTCATCGCGTTGTTTGAAAAATTGAACTGTGCCAGATAGGACATTATTAAAACGTTTCAGCACCCGTCCTCTACTTAACCATCGGACTTCAGAGTGAATGAGTAGGTCCCCGTATTGACAGTCAACTTCATCGGCCAAGGTTTTGAATAATCTTCTTTGTAACGCTTGAGCTCTAATCTTATTCACAATTTTTACCACCAGTTTCATAACGTTGTTTAGTTTCAGGAAATTTCCATATAATGCTTGCTGATGGATAATGCAGTGGTAACAGAGAAATTGCGGAAAAGTTTCATCTTTACGACATAACGCCACCAGACCCTTATCACAACCCACCATAGTTGGAGCGCCATCGGTTGTCAAGCCTACCATTTTCGATATTGGAATTTTCTCGGAAGAAATAATATTTTTTAAATGAGAAAACAACTCCTGTTTAGTAGTGTGTCCTTTCAGTGGAATAAACTTCAAAAGATCTTCTTTAATCGTAAAATCACTAAAAACCATCCTGACGAACACGGCCATCTGGGCAGTGTCAACGACATCTGTTGATTCATCCAGTTGAAGTGAAAAATAAACACAGTTATCTAAGTCAGTTCTTAACTGTAAAAAAATATCATTGCTCATTACTTCTACACGTCTCATCACTGTATTAGCAGAAAGTTGCATAGATTTTATAGCTGAAACTATCTCGTCTTTATTTCTAAAGTTGGCAAATAACGAATTAGCAGCTTCTAAAACGCCTGTTTTATCATTTCCCCGTCTTCTTTTTTTGTGCATTTATCTGGGACACACGGTACGATGCTTCAGTTGCAGCCTTATTTTTGTCGACTGTTCTTAAAAATATTGATTGTTGTCCAATTAACTGCTTTTTTAACTGTTTCAGTTTCTCCTTTCTGGCGGCAGAATGTAGTGGGAATGATTTTTCAAAATTAGAATGTACAGGGTGATTCTTTTATCATGGGAAATGAGTTTTTCTCGTAAACGGCTGTAGCAAATTGAGTTTTGTGAAAAGTATTTTATTTGGGCCGGCTAATGCTTAAAATTGGGATGGATAAGGAAGTTATAAATAAGCGACGCTGGGCGTCGCGACGCTTCAATTTTTTTTTGTCAGAAGCATACCATTTTTATTTCAGAAATTGAAAGATCTATTCAATAGAAACACTTTTTTCAAATACCATTTTTTTCCATCTAAAACCATTCAAGCATTACAGACCAGTTTTTATGTTTTAAATTTGTCGATTGCCATACAAAAAATGCTGGGTTTTTAAATTTCACTAAATCAGGCAGGCTAACTTTTATGCTGATATTGACAACAAATATAATTTAGGATTTAAAGAAAACAATTTACAAGATGTTCCTACATTTAATAACACTTATGTAATTGTTTAGGAAATAATCAAAGTTTACACTAACAACCCATAAAACATACATAAAACATTAAAGAATAACATGAACTGTATTTAGTAAAAATTAATTGCTAATTCACAAATCTTATTTTAACAATTGCTCGATATATGCGCCATCGTTATCCACACATAAATTGTACCGCTTTCTTATTTCGAAAGATGTAACTTTTCTTAAAACATCACCAGATATTCCATTGCACGCATCAATAATTTTTTGTTTTAAAATATCTAAATTATTAGATTTTGTTTTATACACTATATTTTTTAAAATTCCCCATAAAAAGAAATCTAAGGGTGTCAAGTCCGGAGATCTAGGCGGAAATTTCAAGGGCCCGTGTGTCCCCAACCATCTTCCGTGGTAGACTTCATTCAAATAATTTTGAACAATGACCGCATTGTGGCAAGGAGCTCCATCTAGTTGAAACCATAAGTTTCTTCTGATTTGCAGTGGCACATGTTCCAGCAAAAGAGGAAGGTGATTTTGGAGAAAATCTAAGTATCTTGGGCCCGTCAAGGCGCCTTCATAAAAGTATGGCCCTACTAAGTGCCGCCCGACTATTCCGCACCAGACGTTTATGCCAAAGTGGCCCTGTATTTGATGTTGTCTGATTTTGCGCGGGTTTTCGTCTGACCAATAATGGGTATTTTTTTTGTTTGGTAATCCATGACTAACAAAATGACTTTCGTCTGTCCATAGTATATGAGAAAATAAATTAGGATTGTCATCCAAAGACACCAAAAACTGACAAATAAAATCCTTCCTCCTCTCAAAATCTCTAAGCGAAAGTTCTTGCAAATTATGAAATTTATAGTCATGGTATTTGTTGCTTTTTAAAACTCTTTGTATCACACTATAATTTAAATTTAAGTCTCTTGAAGCCTCTCTTATAGAAGCTTCATGGTGATTGTTAAAATAATTTAAAATAATTGCCACATTTTCATCCGTCGTGACAGTTTTTGTTCTTGATCTTTTACCTGCAAATTTGGCTCATTGAATTTATGGGGATTTATTAAAAAACACAAAACCTACCTTCAAATGCTTTAGGGTTTTGACGTAAACTAGTTTCTAACCTGGCAAACATTTTGTGGTCTGGAAGGTTGCGTTCGGGGTATTTTTCCGCATATAATCTTCTTGCAGCTAAACCATTTTTTTGGGCTTCTCCGTATAAAAGAAGCATGTCAACTTTATCTGAATGTGTAAACATATTTCTTATTACTCACTATTTTAATAGGAATAATTGAAATTACACTGACAGTTTCAGACATCAATCAATATAAGCCAATTATGTTTTTTCAAAGCCTACCTGATTTAGTGAAATTTAAAATACCATGCATTCTTTGTATGGCAATCTAGAAATTTGGAACATAAAAACTGGTCTGTAATTTTTGAATGGTTTTAGATGGGAAAAAATAGTATTTAAAAAAAGTGTTTTTATTGAATAGATCTTTCAATTTCTGAAATAAAAATGGTATGCTTCCGACAAAAAAAAATTTAAAGCGTCGCGACGCCCAGCGTCGTTTATTTATAACTTCCTTATCCATCCCAATTTCAAGCAATAACCAGCCCAAATAAAATACTTTTTACAGAACCCAATTTGTTGCAGCCATTTACGAGAAAAACTCATTTCCCATGATAAAAGAATCACCCTGTACAGTATTGTTCTTCCCATTCCGAATGAAAGTGGTATGTCTTTACCTTCTTACAACTGCTTGCCGTAATATTATTTTTTGTTGTTCTCTACTAACCCAACCGCTGGACGTTGGTTACGCGTTCATTTTTAAACTAAGTGCAATGTCGCCGCGCCGTGCGTATTTATCCCGTTCAAAGCAATCCTGATCGTTCTCGAACACTAACGCGCTAGTCCGGCTGGTCGGTTCTAGCCGATTCTAGCTTGATGGCGTCAGCGGCAGATCGCTCACCGCAACGTTGCCGCTGTTTATGTTTAATATTATGACAATTAGATTTATTGTGGAATTTTCGGAAGCTTCTCTGATTTTTGCAGTTTGTATTTTTTAAATTAAAATCGTTGTGAGAGCTACCAGAATTGCCTCCGCGAGCTACCGGTAGCTCGCGATCGACAGGTTGGCGACCACTGTTATAGATTATTGCTGGGTGGTCTTATTATCCAGACACCAACTTATGGTAGGATTCTGAGAAACATTCTATATCTATAGAATCGATAAGATATTGTAATGTAATTTTTACAGATTTTGGCTTACAGATCTTATGAATTGACTCATTAATCTCATTCTCACTCCCTTTGTTTTAGTTAGTCTGATTTGGTATTCAAATCGGATGTAAAAGGTTACAGTGATAGAATTTTAGTTTGTTTTTAATATGTACGTTCTTTAAATTAATATCAATTCCTAATTACTTAACATAGACCTCGAAAAACATACACGGCATTAAATTACTGTGATAAACAATTTTAGGCAATCAAGGATTTGGGTAATGTACAAGGAAGGCGTCTACGACGTTACAGATTACATGGAAGAGCATCCTGGAGGCGAAGACATGATTTTACAAGCAGCTGGACGTTCACTCGAACCATTTTGGGCCATATATTTGGGACACGAGGATAATGACGAAGTTATTGATATTTTAGAAGCTTTGCGAATAGGTATAACAATTCCCATCTACGATTTTACTCGGAGTTACCGGTTAATACATTTTAGGTAATCTGGATCTTAAACCTGGAGAACCAGTGTGCGAATCGCCAGAATTTAAAAAGAATAGATGCGATTACTATAATGATCCCGAGCGACATGCTGTTATACTAAAACCGTTGTGTATGAAACCGTACATTGCTGGACCTTCGCCTGAAAAATTGAGAGAGAATTTCATGACCCCAAAGTATTACACGGTCTTCAATAAAACTCGTATCTCACGTGTAACAATCAAAATTATATATTTATGTTGTTACTGCAACGTTTTAGGACTTATATTTATGCCCTCATGTGTCGGCTTCGCAGAGGGGTTCGATTTTAAATTCTATTGGTTATATGTAACGTCAGTTAAGTTGATTTTGAAATTATTTACTCGCAATGTGAGTAAAGAAAAAGAAAGATAAAAGATGGTACTACTTTTTAAGCGCTTCATTATATGGTTGAATAGTTTTAGTTTGTCGTTAAAATTTTATTACGATAAATAGTGCGTATTATACACAAAACTACCAATTTAAAGAGTAACCCAGAGTTTTACCCGTTAGTGTTAATTTGATTTATTGTTCGATGCGGTTTTTTTCATTATAACTAAAGAAATCTAGAATCTTTTCTTGCAGCAGTTACTGTTTCGTGCACAATCACATACCGGTGCCGAACGTGGACTTCAGTTCGTACAGATTGACCGTAGAAATTGACAGCGAACGTAAAAAAGCATTTACTTTGAACGAATTGAAAGATATGAAACAGCAATGCGTGAAGGCCACTTTGCAGTGTGCGGCCAATCGGAGTCTCGAAATGTCTAAAGAGGTAAATTTGTTTAATAAAATGAAAGCAATGCTAGTGAGGAAAATGATACTTTTCCGTATCACTTTTTTTTATTAATGATTTGACGTAATTATATTTTAATATTTTTAGTTTGAAAGATATGTACAAGGACCAGCTTGGGAACATAACGCTGCTTATACAGCACAGTGGAAGGGGGTGTTGCTGCTTGACGTTTTAAAAGCAGCTGGATACCGAGAAGGAGATTGTCCCCAACATATTGAAGTAGTTTTCTTCTTTTTTCTTTTAATTTGATTACGAAGGTGTAAAGAAAAGTCCTTTTATTTTTCACAAAGTCAATTTATTGGCGACCGATTTCGAAATGATTACTTCATCATCAGACACACCTGAGTGGAAAGTCATGGAGTCAATGTATTGAAAGGTGAAAATTATTTAATACAATTATGAAAATTCAACAAAACATTTTTAAAAAAGGACAAAAGGGGGAGATTAATGATTTGATTTTTGTTCTTTTTAAATATTTTCTGTTCAATTTTCATATTTGTATGAATTGACTATATGAGAAATAAAGGACCTTTCTTTAAACCTTTTTATTCAATCCCAACCTTAATTCTCTATATTTTTCTAAATTTCTTTTAATTTCGTTTTATATTTCTTTACATTTCTAGCTATTTCTTTAAATTTCTACCCATTTTTTTTTTACTTTTCTTTGTTATCTCGTTCATTTCTCATATTTTTCTTCCTCCTTTCCTGTCTTTAAGCCTTAAATAAATGGTTTATGATTTCTTTAAATTTTAATTTCTATTGATTTCTTTAAATTTTAATTTCTATTGATTTCTTTTAATTTAAATTTCTTTAAATTTCTTTAAATTTCTTTAAATTTCTTTAAATTTCTTTAAATTTCTTTAAATTTCTTTAAATTTCTTTAAATTTCCTTCTAGTTTCTTTAAATTTCCTTAAATTTCTTTAAATTTCTACCCATTTCTTTTACACTTTCTTTGTTAAATAAATGATCTAATGTCTGATATTAATCAAATATGTTAGATCCGCTTTTAAAAGTTAAGGGTAATATTGTTATTTTAGTTTGAAAGTATAGAATGCCGGCAAGGAAATTACAGCACTTCAGTACCGTTCTGCAGAGTAGAAGACGAGAGCAACAAAGTAATATTGGCGTACGAAATGAACGGAGAGCCTCTATCCAGAGATCATGGATCGCCGTTAAGAGTTGTTATTCCAGGAGTGGCTGGTACTCGTTGGGTGAAATCACTCGGTAAATGGTTTCAATAAAATAAAAAAAAAAAACAAGAACATATGTCAACCAAAATATGGTGAATCGATTAATTATTAATAGTAGTTCTGTTTTCTTTAAGTTTCTTTAAGTTTCTTTAAGTTTCTTTAAGTTTCTTTAAGTTTCTTTAAGTTTCTTTAAGTTTCTTTAAGTTTCTTTAAGTTTCTTTAAGTTTCTTTAAGTTTCTTTAAGTTTCTTTAAGTTTCTTTAAGTTTCTTTAAGTTTCTTTAAGTTTCTTTAAGTTTCTTTAAGTTTCTTTAAGTTTCTTTAAGTTTCTTTAAGTTTCTTTAAGTTTCTTTAAGTTTCTTTAAGTTTCTTTAAGTTTCTTTAAGTTTCTTTAAGTTTCTTTAAGTTTCTTTAAGTTTCTTTAAGTTTCTTTAAGTTTCTTTAAGTTTCTTTAAGTTTCTTTAAGTTTCTTTAAGTTTCTTTAAGTTTCTTTAAGTTTCTTTAAGTTTCTTTAAGTTTCTTTAAGTTTCTTTAAGTTTCTTTAAGTTTCTTTAAGTTTCTTTAAGTTTCTTTAAGTTTCTTTAAGTTTCTTTAAGTTTCTTTAAGTTTCTTTAAGTTTCTTTAAGTTTCTTTAAGTTTCTTTAAGTTTCTTTAAGTTTCTTTAAGTTTCTTTAAGTTTCTTTAAGTTTCTTTAAGTTTCTTTAAGTTTCTTTAAGTTTCTTTAAGTTTCTTTAAGTTTCTTTAAGTTTCTTTAAGTTTCTTTAAGTTTCTTTAAGTTTCTTTAAGTTTCTTTAAGTTTCTTTAAGTTTCTTTAAGTTTCTTTAAGTTTCTTTAAGTTTCTTTAAGTTTCTTTAAGTTTCTTTAAGTTTCTTTAAGTTTCTTTAAGTTTCTTTAAGTTTCTTTAAGTTTATTTAAGTTTCTTTAAGTTAAGTTTCTTTAATTTTTTTAAATTTCTTTAAATTTCCTTAAATTTCTTTAAATTTCTTTAAATTTCTTTAAATTTCTTTAAATTTATTTAAATTTATTTAAATTTCTTTAAACCATGGAGAATTTGGTATTTATTTACCTTTAAGTGTGTACCCTGTAGCTTTAAGGTTATATCTACAAGCTTTGATGCTTTTTTTTTTTCTAGAAAAAATTTCATTACAAGGTAAGGAAAGTAGATCATCGTGGCATCAGCACCACTATAAAAAGTTAGACTGCACATTCGTTGGTCCGGAAGTAAATGAAATAATAGTAGAATCCGCACCGGCCGTTGAAGAATTGCCGGTAAATTCTGCTATTTGTAAACCAGCCGATGGAGAGGATGTCCATACTATAGGTGGGAAAGTCGAAGTAAAAGGTATGTATGTTTCTATTAGAATGTATCTAATAGTTTTCGAGAGGCGCGCTTTAAAATAAAGGCTGAAAAAGATCTCTTAAAAATAATTGAATTTAATCACTCCCAGAACCTTCAAGGGACCAGGAACCAGGACCATTGCTAATAATTATTATTTATCGTTTACAAATTCAAAATAATATAATAAAAAATAAATTATATACCACCCAAACGACAAAATGCATAAATATCCGGAAATACAAACCAAATTATTACTTTTCATATATCATCTAGCTACGCCACTGATTGTTTTTACAAACAAACGTTCTGAAATACCAAAAAATGGGTAAGTACTGATAAAAATGTCCAGTAAATCCTTGTTTTTAACCGGCTGAAATTTATCAATTTTTTGGAACGTCTTCTATAATTGAATATATATTTTTATATAACTCGAAATCCAACCCTATTACACCCATTTTTTTTTAAATTTGTAAATATTATGGATCGCCAACTATGAAATACTGCTCCACTGTTGCATGACCCTGTATTTATGAAATGTTTATATTAATTTCTTTAAAATTCTTTAAATTTCCTTAAATTTCTTTGAAATTCTTAAAATTTCCTTAAATTTCTTTGATCTTTTTAACTTTCTACCCATTTCTTTCGAATATTCTTTATGAAATACTGCTCCACTGTTGCAGGACCCTGTATTTATGAATTATTTCTATAAATTTCTTTAAATTTCCTTAATTTCTTTAATCTCTTTAACTTTCTACTCATTTCATTCGAATTTTCTTTGTTATCCCGTTCATATTTAACATAAACCCATTTTTTTTTAATTTATAAATATTGACCGCCAACTATGAAATATTGCTCTACTGTTGCAGAACCCTGTATTATAAAATATTTCTTTAGGTTATGCCTTGTCTGGCGGCGGCCAAAAAATTACGACAGTAGAAGTGTCTGGAGACGAAGGAAAAACTTGGGTACCGGCAAAAATTACACACACCGACACCTGTTGTCCGCCTTATCATTTCACCTGGGCCTTTTGGACAGCGGACGTTCCCGTCCAAAAAGGAAGAAAATTCGTAAGCAAAGTTAATTTTTTTAAATTGAAATAAACTAACTAAAAAAAGAGCTAAAAATCAAGCATATTTGAAACCATTTAAAATGTGTGTATCTCAAAAAGTATTTAATAAAATACGATTCGTGTTACACCGAAAATGAATATATTTGTTATTTCAAATGGAAGACCCTGTATATTTTTAGTTATTCAGAAAGTCCCTTCTTTTCCCTTTCAGTTACATATTTGGGCTAAAGCGACAGACTCTGCAAATAATACTCAACCAGAGAAATGGAAATGGAACTATTGCGGTGTGGCTTGTAATGCCATACATAAAATAAGAGTTTTTGTATTACAATAAAAATTAAATAAAATTAAAATGTTTTTTATTTAAATAACTGGATAAGAGAATATTGTATAAATATTAAAAACTACTGTGTGGATAGTATAATAAGTAAGCAACTGTATTTTTCTTAATTAAAAAAAAATATACACAAAATAAGTGTTGGAAATGCATCCAACATATTGAATAAATTCATAAGGCCAACCCTGCATAATACATTCTGAAAATAGACAGTTGTGACTTTAACACTGAGCCTTAAAATCGTTAGCAAATCAAAAAGCGACCCATAAAAAGGTTTTTAAAGATAATTGCCTCCAGTTAAGTGGTCTGAGATCACCTCTGGTTATTTAAAAAGGTAATTTTTGAACGATTTTTCTGTAGCCCAAAGTTTTTAATTAAGCAGAAGTTATTGCATTAGGACGTTCCTTTCCAATCGTAATATTTAAACAAAAAACCCACATGGATCCAACTTTGTAACACACACTGTATAATAGAAAACAGTGTATTTAAACAAATCAAAGCACATTTTTAATAATAGTGTCGGATCACACATAAAATCTTGGCGTGCCGCAGTTTCGGTATGGCTGATCTGGAGTGGTGCTTTATAGATAGTCGATTTTCTACTTTAAGGCATATTTCTGTTATTTATTACCGGAGAAGAAAATTCTTCGAATAAGAGTTGTTTGAAATGCTATTCTTTATACTTTTTATCATAGACATGATTTCTCTAAAATGAACCGTAATGAAGAAATTTAAGGAAAACTACAAAATTCGATTTGTTTTTCAATATTTTCTTTGCAGATGAAGATATGAAAAAAATCTTCGAATAAAAGTTATTTGTGTTATCGTGCTCTATACTTTTTGTCATATACATGATTTATCTAAAAGGGACCGTAACGGAGAAATTTGAGGAAAAGTACAAAATTTGATGTTTTTTACAATATTTTCTTTGCAGATGAAAATATGAAAAAATTCTTTGAACCAGAGTTATTTGTTATGCCATTTTTTATACTTTTTGTCATATACATGATTTCTAAAATGGACCGTAACGAAAAAATTTGAGGAAAATTACAAAATTCGATTTGTTTTTTCAATATTTTCTTTTCAGATGAATATATGTAAAAATTCTTCAAATAAGAGTTGTTTGTAATGACATTCTTTATATTTTTTGTGATATACATAATTTCTTTAAAATAGACCGTAACGGAGAAATTTGAGGAAAAGTACCAAATTCGATTTGTTTTTCAATATTTTCTTTTCAGATGAAGATATGAAAAAATTCTTCGAATAAGAGTTGTTTGTTATGCCATTCTTTATACTTTTTGTCATATACATGATTTCTCTAAAATGGACCGTAACGAAAAAATTTGAGGAAAATTACAAACTTCGATTTGTTTTTTCAATATTTTCTTTTCAGATGAATATATGTAAAAATTCTTCAAATAAGAGTTGTTTGTAATGACATTCTTTATATTTTTTGTGATATACATAATTTCTCTAAAATGGACCGTAACGGAGAAATTTGAGGAAAAGTACCAAATTCGATTTGTTTTTCAATATTTTCTTTTCAGATAAAGATATGAAAAAATTCTTCGAATAAGAGTTGTTTGTTATGCCATTCTTTATACTTTTTGTCATATACATGATTTCTCTAAAATGGACCGTAACGAAAAAATTTGAGGAAAAACTTCGATTTGTTTTTTCAATATTTTCTTTTCAGATGAAGATATGTAAAAATTCTTCAAATAAGAGTTGTTTGTAATGACATTCTTTATATTTTTTGTAATATACATAATTTCTCTAAAATGGACCGTAACGGAGAAATTTGAGGAAAAGTACCAAATTCGATTTATTTTTCAATATTTTCTTTGCAGATGAAGATATGAAAAAATTCTTCGGATAAGGGTTGTTTATAATGACATTCTTTATACTTTTTGTCATATACATGATTTCTTTAAAATGGACCGTAACGGATAAATTTAAGGAAAAGTATAAAATTCGATTTATTTTTTCAATATTTTCTTTTCAGATGAAGATATGAAAAAATTCTTCGAATAAGAGTTGTTTGTTATGCCATTATTTATACTTTTTGTCATATACATGATTTCTCTAAAACGGGCCGTAACGAAAAAATTTGAGGAAAATTACAAACTTCGATTTGTTTTTTCAATATTTTCTTTTCAGATAAAGATATGTAAAAATTCTTCAAATAAGAGTTGTTTGTTATGCCATTTTTTATACTTTTTGTCATATACATAATTTCTCTAAAATGGACCGTAACGGAGAAATTTGAGGAAAAGTACCAAATTCGATTTGTTTTTCAATATTTTCTTTGCAGATGAAGATATGAAAAAATTCTTCGGATAAGGGTTGTTTATAATGACATTCTTTATACTTTTTGTCATATACATGATTTCTTTAAAATGGACCGTAACGGAGAAATTTAAGGAAAAGTACAAAATTCGATTTATTTTTTCAATATTTTCTTTGTAGATGAAGATATGAAAAAATTCTTCGAATAGAAGTTGTTTGTATTATCGTGCTCAATACTTATGTCACAACAAAATGTTTCTAAAATGGACCGTATTGGAAAAATTTGAGGAAAACTAAAAAATTTGATTTATTTTTCAATATTTTCGCTATAAATGAAGATATGAAAAAATTCTTCTAATGGGAGTTGTTTTTGATGCCATTCTCTATATTTTTTGTTATGTACAAAATTACTCTAAAATGGACCGTAATGGAGAAATTTGAGAAAAAAGGTAACATTCGAATTTTCTCAAAATATTCGTTAGCAATGAAGACACGAGAAAATTTTTCAAATAGAATATTCATGTAAAATGTTTAACGTTACACTTTTTGATTAGATGGACCGCACTCAATATATTTAATAATTTTTTTGTCAAATCTGATCCAAAATTTGGCTATTCTCGTAAACCAGCAAAGATATTTCCCTTTTTTTTTAAATAAAACAAAATATCGATATTTGAACTGTATTTTATTAAAATATAACACAACAGTAAAGCAAAAAAATGCCCAAACAAAACTTTTTTCATAAAAAAATAAACATTTGATACCTACAATCAAATTTGTCGAATTTCAAAGTAAAATAGATATATTTATATTTATAGATATAACTATCACATTTAAAAACCATCGGTATCAACTTATTACCTAAGCATTACCCGAAATTTCGCCAAAACTTAAACCTAACTTAAAATAATTATAGATATAAGTTATCACGTGTCAAATTATAACACTAAATCTGAACGAAAAAAAAATTATAGATATAACGATCACATTTTGATTAGATGAGTATTTAATGTTTCAAAGTCACTTTGACTTTGTGATAAGCATTGCTTAACACACCGCGCAGATTCCAAATATTTTCAAAACCTTCCGGTTGCGTGTTGTAACTAGAATCGACTGCTTTCGCCCAAATTTCAACCTGAAATGGAAAACAGTTATTTAACATAGTCCATTTCAAGTTAAAAACTAATGAAGTAAGTGAGAATGTAAAAAGAAGCAATTAAAAACTAAGAAAAATCAAAATAATGTAAGATTAAATAAATAAATTTGTGAGAATCAAAATTTATAAAATCAGAGACATTTTTGCAATTTTTATTTGTCAAAATTATTGAAAATATGAAATTATTGCAAAGAATCCAAAAATCAAAAAAAAGTTAGGGGGAATAAAAAAAATTGTTGATTGTTAAACTATTAGTGGAAGATTAAAGAACAAATATCAGGGAATTTCATATAGAAACTGTTATGAAAATAGAAAAATGTATAAAATGAATGCTTCATCATACTATTTAGTTAACACTATTCTCAGATATAAACTTTCGTATCCAGTCCAAATGTTCTTAAAGCAAACAAAGTCTAGAGACAATGTAGAAAAGGTAATACCAAAAAATCAAAGGGGGTCAAATGAAAGGTAATAAAAATTTGTCTCAACTAAACGTTCTTTTTTTTAAGTGTTTATCAGATACAAGTCGATACCTAAAAACACAGCTCAGATATTTTGCAATGCTTCAACATACTATTTAGTTAACACTACCCTCAGATATAAACTTTCGTACCCAGTCCAAATGTTCTTAAAGCAAACGAAGTCTAGAGACAATGTAGAAAAGGTAATACAAAAAAATCAAAGGGGGTCAAACGGAAGGTAATAAAAAATTGTCTCAGCTAAACGTTTTTTTTTTAATATTTATCAGATACAAGTCGATTCCTAAAAACAGCTCAGATATTTTGCAATGCTTCAACATACTGTTTAGTTAAGAGTATTCTCAGATATAAATTTTCGTACCCAGTCCAAATTTTCTTAAAGCAAACGAAGTCTAGAGACAATGTAGAAAAGGTAATACAAAAAAATCAAAGGGGGTCAAACGAAAGGTAATAAAAAATTGTCTCAGCTAAACTTTTTTTTTAATATTTATCAGATACAAGTCGATTCCTAAAAACAGTTTAGATATTTTGCAATGCTTCAACATACCGTTTAGTTAACAGTACTCTCGAGATATAAACTTTCTTACCCAGTCCAAATGTTTTTAAAGCAAACGAAGTCTAGAGACAATGTAGAAAAGGTAATACAAAAAAATCAAAGGGGGTCAAACGAAAGGTAATAAAAAATTGTCTCAGCTAAACGTTTTTTTTTAATATTTATCAGATACAAGTCGATTCCTAAAAACAGTTTAGATATTTTGCAATGCTTCAACATACCGTTTAGTTAACAGTACTCTCGAGATATAAACTTTCTTACCCAGTCCAAATGTTTTTAAAGCAAACGAAGTCTAGAGACAATGTAGAAAAGGTAATACCAAAAAATCAAAGGGGGTCAAATGAAAGGTAATAAAAAATTATCTCAACTAAACGTTTTTTTTAAGTATTTATCTCAGCTACAAGTCGATACCTACCAACACAGTTTAGATATTTTGCAATGCTTCAACATACTGTTTAGTTAACAGTACTCAGATATAAACTTTCGTACCCAGTTCAAATGTTCTTAAAGCAAACGAAGTCTAGAGACAATGTAGAAAAGGTATAACCAAAAAATCAAAGGTAATCAAATGAAAGGTAATAAAAAATTGTCTTAAATAAACTTTTTTTTTAAATATTTTTCTCAGATACAAGTCGATTCCTAAAAACTTAGTTTATATATTTTGCAATGCTTCAACATACTGTTTAGTTAACAGTACTCTCAGATATAAACTTTCGTACCCAATCCAAATGTTCTTAAAGCAAACGAAGTCTAGAGACAATGTAGAAAAGGTAATTCCAAAAAGTCAAAGGGGGTCAAATGAAAGGTAATAAAAAATTGTCTCAACTAAACGTTTTTTATGAAAAAATATTTATCTCAGATACAATTCGATAAGTAAAAACACAGTTTAGATATATTGCAACGTGTGTAGAGCTGAAATAAGGACTATAAAGTTAAAAAGTTACCAAAAGTGTTTATGATAAAAAATATAATACTTACGTTCTTGGTTCTTTCATCAACAGGTATCTTTACCGACCATAATGTCCACGCCCAATGTACAGGAGGCAGCGCGGTATCTTGATGGTCAAATTCGGCTACATGCCAAGTTCTACCACAGTTTGCAGTAACATCGACTCTGACGATTTTTTGACCGCCTCCTGACCAAGCATAACCTAAAATAAACAGAAAACAATAATGATCGGAGCTAGTAAACGAATTTTAATAGCGAAAATGAGTGATTTAAAAGATGATAAAGTCTTACCGGAGGAAAGTTTGGAAAAAGCAGATCAACCAGACGGCGAGGAATTGAACTTTGAAGTGGTAAAATTCAAGGTCGCGAAATAACTTTTAGCACTTAATTATATTTGATTATTAATTATTTTGATTATCGTGTTGCGTGTAGAAGATATATTTAGCTTGTACTGTATCTTGAATTCATGAATTTGGTCACAGGGGTGGTTTAGAAAATGTATAAATTTAAGAATGTTATTAAAATTAAAAAGTAAGGTACGTGCTTTAAATTCTTACCTTTAACTGTAATCATATCGTCTTCAACTTTAACGGTACTACCATTGATCGGTTGACAAATAGCGGATATCACAGGCAATTCTTGAATGGCTGGCGATTTGGAAAAATCGACTGTATCCCAATCGGTAGAAGGTGAAAATCCTTTATAATCGTTTTGTTGCCAATGTGAATCGCTTTCTTTATCAGACACGATTATTTTTCCTAAAATATTAAATTTCTAATTTGATACTTGTATATAGAAATTAAAATAAATAAGTTTTTCATGCAATAGTACTGTCAATTTGTAATGATGCATTCATTTATATTCATTTATTTTCATTTATATTCATTTATATTCATTTATATTCATTTATATTCATTTATATTCATTTATATTCATTTATATTCATTTATATTCATTTATATTCATTTATATTCATTTATATTCATTTATATTCATTTATATTCATTTATATTCATTTATATTCATTTATATTCATTTATATTCATTTATATTCATTTATATTCATTTATATTCAATTTATATTCATTTATATTCATTTATATTCATTTATATTCATTTATATTCATTTATATTCATTTATATTCATTTATATTCATTTATATTCATTTATATTCATTTATATTCATTTATATTCATTTATATTCATTTATATTCATTTATATTCATTTATATTCATTTATATTCATTTATATTCATTTATATTCATTTATATTCATTTATATTCATTTATATTCATTTATATTCATTTATATTCATTTATATTCATTTATATTCATTTATATTCATTTATATTCATTTATATTCATTTATATTCATTTATATTCATTTATATTCATTTATATTCATTTATATTCATTTATATTCATTTATATTCATTTATATTCATTTATATTCATTTATATTCATTTATATTCATTTATATTCATTTATATTCATTTATATTCATTTATATTCATTTATATTCATTTATATTCATTTATATTCATTTATATTCATTTATATTCATTTATATTCATTTATATTCATTTATATTCATTTATATTCATTTATATTCATTTATATTCATTTATATTCATTTATATTCATTTATATTCATTTATATTCATTTACATTCATTTACATTCATTTATATTCATTTATATTCATTTATATTCATTTATATTCATTTATATTCATTTATATTCATTTATATTCATTTATATTCATTTATATTCATTTATATTCATTTATAATCATTTATATTCATTTATAATCATTTATATTCATTTATATTCATTTATATTCATTTATATTCATTTATATTCATTTATATTCATTTATATTCATTTATATTCATTTATATTCATTTATATTCATTTATATTCATTTATATTCATTTATATTCATTTATATTCATTTATATTCATTTATATTCATTTATATTCATTTATATTCATTTATATTCATTTATATTCATTTATATTCATTTATATTCATTTATATTCATTTATATTCATTTATATTCATTTATATTCATTTATATTCATTTATATTCATTTATATTCATTTATATTCATTTATATTCATTTATATTCATTCATTTATATTCATTCATTTATATTCATTCATTTATATTCATTCATTTATATTCATTCATTTATATTCATTCATTTATATTCATTCATTTATATTCATTCATTTATATTCATTCATTTATATTCATTCATTTATATTCATTCATTTATATTCATTCATTTATATTCATTTATATTCATTTATATTCATTTATATTCATTTATATTCATTTATATTCATTTATATTCATTTATATTCATTTATATTCATTTATATTCATTTATATTCATTTATATTCATTTATATTCATTTATATTCATTTATATTCATTTATATTCATTTATATTCATTTATATTCATTTATATTCATTTATATTCATTTATATTCATTTATATTCATTTATATTCATTTATATTCATTTATATTCATTTATATTCATTTATATTCATTTATATTCATTTATATTCATTTATATTAATTTATATTCATTTATATTAATTTATATTCATTTATATTCATTTATATTCATTTATATTCATTTATATTCATTTATATTCATTTATATTCATTTATATTCATTTATATTCATTTATATTCATTTATATTCATTTATATTCATTTATATTCATTTATATTCATTTATATTCATTTATATTCATTTATATTCATTTATATTCATTTATATTCATTTATATTCATTTATATTCATTTATATTCATTTATATTCATTTATATTCATTTATATTCATTTATATTCATTTATATTCATTTATATTCATTTATATTCATTTATATTCATTTATATTCATTTATATTCATTTATATTCATTTATATTCATTTATATTCATTTATATTCATTTATATTCATTTATATTCATTTATATTCATTTATATTCATTTATATTCATTTATATTCATTTATATTCATTTATATTCATTTATATTCATTTATATTCATTTATATTCATTTATATTCATTTATATTCATTTATATTCATTTATATTCATTTATATTCATTTATATTCATTTATATTCATTTATATTCATTTATATTCATTTATATTCATTTATATTCATTTATATTCATTTATATTCATTTATATTCATTTATATTCATTTATATTCATTTATATTCATTTATATTCATTTATATTCATTTATATTCATTTATATTCATTTATATTCATTTATATTCATTTATATTCATTTATATTCATTTATATTCATTTATATTCATTTATATTCATTTATATTCATTTATATTCATTTATATTCATTTATATTCATTTATATTCATTTATATTCATTTATATTCATTTATATTCATTTATATTCATTTATATTCATTTATATTCATTTATATTCATTTATATTCATTTATATTCATTTATAATCATTTATATTCATTTATATTCATTTATATTCATTTATATTCATTTATATTCATTTATATTCATTTATATTCATTTATATTCATTTATATTCATTTATATTCATTTATATTCATTTATATTCATTTATATTCATTTATATTCATTTATATTCATTTATATTCATTTATATTCATTTATATTCATTTATATTCATTTATATTCATTTATATTCATTTATATTCATTTATATTCATTTATATTCATTTATATTCATTTATATTCATTTATATTCATTTATATTCATTTATATTCATTTATATTCATTTATATTCATTCATTTATATTCATTCATTTATATTCATTCATTTATATTCATTCATTTATATTCATTCATTTATATTCATTCATTTATATTCATTTATATTCATTTATATTCATTTATATTCATTTATATTCATTTATATTCATTTATATTCATTTATATTCATTTATATTCATTTATATTCATTTATATTCATTTATATTCATTTATATTCATTTATATTCATTTATATTCATTTATATTCATTTATATTCATTTATATTAATTTATATTCATTTATATTCATTTATATTCATTTATATTCATTTATATTCATTTATATTCATTTATATTCATTTATATTCATTTATATTCATTTATATTCATTTATATTCATTTATATTCATTTATATTCATTTATATTCATTTATATTCATTTATATTCATTTATATTCATTTATATTCATTTATATTCATTTATATTCATTTATATTCATTTATATTCATTTATATTCATTTATATTCATTTATATTTATGTATATGTATAAATAAATACCTGTATTAAATTGTTGATAAAAAAAATATAAAAAATAATAAACGTACCTAACCATTTGACGTTTCTAGCACCGACTACACCTGGAACGATGACTCTTATCGGAAACCCGTGATCTCTCGGTATGGGCACGCCGTTCATTTCATAAGCTAAAATTACGTCTCCTCTTCGTTCCAACGCCTTCCAAATTGGAATCGACGCCCCGTACATTTTACCGGTTATATCGCAATCCAAACCCTCGAACTAAAACAAACGTTTAAAATACATAACGATTCTCCGCAAGAACAATGGCGCAAGTGAAAATTAATGGATCCACAGAAATAGCGGACTGAGACGTTAAGGAACAGCTTTTAAATAATCTATGGAGATTTGGAGAAAGCAAATGTATTATAGTTTTATTCTTTTTGAAACAATTTAAGATTTATAGGCCTTAAAAGTCAAGATTTGCACTTGCGTCATTGTTCTTCCGGAAAAGCTATAAGTATAACATACAATTTAACAAATCTTGAGAAAAGAAAACAAATCAAAAGATAATTATGGTTTATAGTATTACTGCTCATTATTTATCTTACCTGAATATGTTTAGGCTTGTCGACTTCATCTTCGTTGACGCCGGCTAATAATAAAATATCTCTAATTGGTACGCCGGTCCAGGTTGCCGTGCCGATGGCAGCCGCGCCCCAATTTAAGCCCTTAACAGGTTTGACCTATAATAATATAAAATATAAACAAATATATACAAGATGCGGCACATAAACAAATTATCAAATCTTGATCAAATTTTTATGGCTTACTGCTATATGGATTATCTAATATTTAGAAAATGGAAATACATTTCAATTCTCAAACGTGACAAAGACTTGAGTTTTTCTCTTTTTTCTTTATTGTTTATTAATATTTAGTAGTTTCTACAACAAGAACTCGATGAAAAATGACATAATTCATTTGGAATTGTCGATGCCAAAAAGTACTTATATATGTAAAAATATTTTTCCAAATAGTTTAAATGGTCTAATAAAAAAAATGCAAAAATTTTCTATCAATTTCTATAAATTTCTATCAATTTCTATCAATTTCTCTCAATTTCTCTCAATTTCTCTCAATTTCTCTCAATTTCTCTCAATTTCTCTCAATTTCTCTCAATTTCTCTCAATTTCTCTCAATTTCTCTCAATTTCTCTCAATTTCTCTCAATTTCTCTCAATTTCTCTCAATTTCTATCAATTTCTATCAATTTCTATCAATTTCTATCAATTTCTATCAATTTCTATCAATTTCTATCAATTTCTATCAATTTCTATCAATTTCTATCAATTTCTATCAATTTCTATCAATTTCTATCAATTTCTATCAATTTCTATCAATTTCTATCAATTTCTATCAATTTCTATCAATTTCTATCAATTTCTATCAATTTCTATCAATTTCTATCAATTTCTATCAATTTCTATCAATTTCTATCAATTTCTATCAATTTCTATCAATTTCTATCAATTTCTATCAATTTCTATCAATTTCTATCAATTTCTATCAATTTCTATCAATTTCTATCAATTTCTATCAATTTCTATTTCTATTCATATTATTTCTATTCATTTCTATTCATTTCTATTCATTTCTATTCATTTCTATTCATTTCTATTCATTTCTATTCATTTCTATTCATTTCTATTCATTTCTATTCATTTCTATTCATTTCTATTCATTTCTATTCATTTCTATTCATTTCTATTCATTTCTATTCATTTCTATTCATTTCTATTCATTTCTATTCATTTCTATTCATTTCTATTCATTTCTATTCATTTCTATTCATTTCTATTCATTTCTATTCATTTCTATTCATTTCTATTCATTTCTATTCATTTCTATTCATTTCTATTCATTTCTATTCATTTCTATTCATTTCTATTCATTTCTATTCATTTCTATTCATTTCTATTCATTTCTATTCATTTCTATTCATTTCTATTCATTTCTATTCATTTCTATTCATTTCTATTCATTTCTATTCATTTCTATTCATTTCTATTCATTTCTATTCATTTCTATTCATTTCTATTCATTTCTATTCATTTCTATTCATTTCTATTCATTTCTATTCATTTCTATTCATTTCTATTCATTTCTATTCATTTCTATTCATTTCTATTCATTTCTATTCATTTCTATTCATTTCTATTCATTTCTATTCATTTCTATTCATTTCTATTCATTTCTATTCATTTCTATTCATTTCTATTCATTTCTATTCATTTCTATTCATTTCTATTCATTTCTATTCATTTCTATTCATTTCTATTCATTTCTATTCATTTCTATTCATTTCTATTCATTTCTATTCATTTCTATTCATTTCTATTCATTTCTATTCATTTCTATTCATTTCTATTCATTTCTATTCATTTCTATTCATTTCTATTCATTTCTATTCATTTCTATTCATTTCTATTCATTTCTATTCATTTCTATTCATTTCTATTCATTTCTATTCATTTCTATTCATTTCTATTCATTTCTATTCATTTCTATTCATTTCTATTCATTTCTATTCATTTCTATTCATTTCTATTCATTTCTATTCATTTCTATTCATTTCTATTCATTTCTATTCATTTCTATTCATTTCTATTCATTTCTATTCATTTCTATTCATTTCTATTCATTTCTATTCATTTCTATTCATTTCTATTCATTTCTATTCATTTCTATTCATTTCTATTCATTTCTATTCATTTCTATTCATTTCTATTCATTTCTATTCATTTCTATTCATTTCTATTCATTTCTATTCATTTCTATTCATTTCTATTCATTTCTATTCATTTCTATTCATTTCTATTCATTTCTATTCATTTCTATTCATTTCTATTCATTTCTATTCATTTCTATTCATTTCTATTCATTTCTATTCATTTCTATTCATTTCTATTCATTTCTATTCATTTCTATTCATTTCTATTCATTTCTATTCATTTCTATTCATTTCTATTCATTTCTATTCATTTCTATTCATTTCTATTCATTTCTATTCATTTCTATTCATTTCTATTCATTTCTATTCATTTCTATTCATTTCTATTCATTTCTATTCATTTCTATTCATTTCTATTCATTTCTATTCATTTCTATTCATTTCTATTCATTTCTATTCATTTCTATTCATTTCTATTCATTTCTATTCATTTCTATTCATTTCTATTCATTTCTATTCATTTCTATTCATTTCTATTCATTTCTATTCATTTCTATTCATTTCTATTCATTTCTATTCATTTCTATTCATTTCTATTCATTTCTATTCATTTCTATTCATTTCTATTCATTTCTATTCATTTCTATTCATTTCTATTCATTTCTATTCATTTCTATTCATTTCTATTCATTTCTATTCATTTCTATTCATTTCTATTCATTTCTATTCATTTCTATTCATTTCTATTCATTTCTATTCATTTCTATTCATTTCTATTCATTTCTATTCATTTCTATTCATTTCTATTCATTTCTATTCATTTCTATTCATTTCTATTCATTTCTATTCATTTCTATTCATTTCTATTCATTTCTATTCATTTCTATTCATTTCTATTCATTTCTATTCATTTCTATTCATTTCTATTCATTTCTATTCATTTCTATTCATTTCTATTCATTTCTATTCATTTCTATTCATTTCTATTCATTTCTATTCATTTCTATTCATTTCTATTCATTTCTATTCATTTCTATTCATTTCTATTCATTTCTATTCATTTCTATTCATTTCTATTCATTTCTATTCATTTCTATTCATTTCTATTCATTTCTATTCATTTCTATTCATTTCTATTCATTTCTATTCATTTCTATTCATTTCTATTCATTTCTATTCATTTCTATTCATTTCTATTCATTTCTATTCATTTCTATTCATTTCTATTCATTTCTATTCATTTCTATTCATTTCTATTCATTTCTATTCATTTCTATTCATTTCTATTCATTTCTATTCATTTCTATTCATTTCTATTCATTTCTATTCATTTCTATTCATTTCTATTCATTTCTATTCATTTCTATTCATTTCTATTCATTTCTATTCATTTCTATTCATTTCTATTCATTTCTATTCATTTCTATTCATTTCTATTCATTTATTTTTACAATACTCCCATACAAATTTATTTCCCCTCTCCCCATTTTAAAATATGGAATTTTAAAAACCCTGAAATACTTCATTATTTATTTATGATGTGTAGCTACAATTCCAATTTTCAAATTCCTGCCTTTCTTGCGTTGCGACACCCTGTATATCTACATGTACCCGAATGAATTCGACTTTTTTGATAGGTATTGGATATTAAAATAAAAACTCTGAAAAAAAGTCAAATGATTTATTAATTTTACCTTAGTCATTTCGCTTCTTCTGTTGCCCGCACACATTATCGTGGCTGTGATGGTTTTTTTTCGGCAATCGTTTCAATTGATCCAATGTAAAAACCACATTATTTTTACCTTCGATTTCAATTTCTAATTCGTAAGTGTTTGGATCGACATCTGGTACGGGTAAGTGATTTCTTACATAAAATAATTCGCTAAAAAAATACATTATATTTTTTTTTACTACCACTACCACTATCTTTAAAATTTAGTACGAATAAAATAAAAATTGAATAGTGGTAATAATAATAACTACCCAATATTTACCACCAATTAATTTTAAATGGTTGATGTTAATTTATGTAATTAAGTTGGAAAAAGAAATTAAAAAAATATGTTTATATACTCGTAATTTGTAAATTGTGCAATCTGTAATTTAGCCATTACGGTCGTAGAAAAAGTATTGTGTATATCAAGTTATTAAGATTACAGCGTTCCACAACGCCTAGTCGTTTATCAAAATAATTGTATATGTACCTATTCTTAATAGTACAAACAGTAGATATGCAGCTAAAATACTTACTTAGGGGTAATAAAGCTTTCGACTAATAATTCTGGCGGTAATTCAGCATTATAAGGTTTAATACTAGCTGGTTTCAATGCGACATGTCTTTTTGGATCAATTGAATACGGATCAGACATATCTGCAGTTAAATTTGTGATTTCTTCCTTTATTAAGTTACCTAAAATTGTATTTCTTTTTTTTTACAAACGAACACATTTTCTAATTGCTATTGGAATGTTCATATTTTAAATATTTTTAAAATTTCATTAAAATTATCCTAATTTTTGATATGTTATAGAATTTATCATACTATAGAGTTGAAAAATGGGTGGGATATATAAATTATGGAGAAAATTATACAAAATAAAGAATCACAACTGCTTTCATAAATATCTATTTTAACACCCTGTATATCGAATATTTTTGCTTTTAAAAAATATTTATATTAAGTCACAAAATTTAAAATATCATTAAGTAGGTATTAAAATTTTTATTACCTATCCTGTAATTTTCTAAAATTGCATAAACATGAGGATTTTCGTGGACGCCATAAAGCATCCAGAATGGTTCAACTGAACTACCGGCTGCCATTAAAATTTGATCTCCACCGGGATGTCCTTCTATGAAATCCGTAATATCATAAACTCCTGCCTTGTATGTCACCCATATTCGTTTTTCCCTGTTATAATATATATAGAGTGTGAAATGCTTGAATGTAAAAAATATTAGGTATTTTTTTCAAAAAAACCTGTTAATAAATTACCTAACTTTACCTGAAAAATTAGTAGATTAAAAATACATTTTACCTGGTATTATGAGAAGATATTTCATCACAACTGAAAAGAGGTAGATTTTTATTGAAATGACCAGGTACATTTTCGTTTTGGATATTACTTTCTTGAGCTATCACACATTTTGATTTTCCTGAAAGAAATGAGAAATAGTTTCAACAGGAGTCCTGGTATACCTATTTTTATTATCTGTTTTAGATCCTGACTGGTTAGTAAAGGTCAAAAAACATGTGCTCTGTATTTTAAACCAAATTTCGGTAGAAAAAATTAACAGAAAATAATAAATTACTTCAAAATGAAGCTTACGTTCTAATCTTTAATGTGAAAAGTTGTGTTTGTAGCAAACTTTGATAACTACGCGATAAGTACGCGACATTTTACCGTTTTTGTCAGTACAAATTCTAGTTGGTTCTCTATTTAAACAATGTAAATTAAAACACTCCATCAAATCAACTAATAAAACTTTTTCTCATGAATCTTTTAAAAAATCAATATTGAATTATTAAAAAACGTATCAAGATTACCTGTTGGGGCCCGATAAATAGTTAACAAACAATACCCAAGTCCATTTAAACTAAACGTAATTGAACAACATTCAAAATTTAACTCTTCACTTTTGTCACTAATAAATCGCGGTATATCATACAACAAAGATTTTTTTTACAAGTATCAAAACACCACCATGATCCTTATCAGTCATATTAAAGAATACGGCCTGATGGTATCCATCAAAGCAAAATATATTGATATTATCATCATATTAATATTATTATTAATAAAACATGTTAGACAGAAAATTATTTATTGACAATTTACTTCTAGTTTGTTCAGAAATATTCACAATTTATAAAATTAAACTGAATAGTCTTAAAAAAATATTATAGTAGTTTTTTATACCTAATGAGGTAAATTTTGAGGCAGCAGCAACTGGTTCATAATCATTTTTATTGATAGTTTATAATTTTTGAAACTGTCTATTATTTACATTACTTAAGGCCGCAGTATCACTGTATTTCTCATATAAGAAGCAAGGGTTCACCATTTCCGATTGCATTTAAATCCCGCTAAATGTATTAAAATTAATCTTCTACCAGCTTAAAGTATAAGGTTTGGAGAATGAAATCTCCTATTTTTTATTTGTCCTGTTTATACACTGAATTTTAAAAAAAAATCATAAAAAGTGATTTTAAAACCAGAGGCTAAAAAGTATCCCGCCAAAATATTTCTAAATTTTATTGCGTATTTTTCAAATCTAACTGGAAATACGATTAACAAATATTTGATAAATTTATTTGTCAAATTAGAGATTTTCTATGTATTTCTGTAATTGTGTATAGTTCATGTAGTTCATCTATTTTTAAGAAGATGTCACCGTAAAAAACAATATAGCTACTCTGTTTTAGAGATGGTTTTAATAGGTAAATGATTGTTTAGAGGTACCAATTTTTGAAACAGTGATACAGGTGTATGCCGTCTTTTATTGTTTCGTGATTTTCATATATATTTGTCTCGTTTGGTTCCAAATTATCGATTGATTTTGCTTGTGTATGAACAAGTGTTGAACACGTTGCCAGATTATCGATTTATACGATAATTTCACAATTCTTTCTAGGACGAATTTGATTTTAAAACGGGTGAAATATACAATGGTGAAATGCAGGAAAGGGAAGGAACTTTATTGCATTCCGATGTAAATTAAATCCGAATGACCTGGCATCATTGTATGATACGCACGTAATATTGGCGGTCTTTGCTTTCTTCTCCTGAATGTTATTTTATCTTGATAAGGAATCTTATTTCTGAGTTAACACGTTGACTGCTATGTGTATGTACCCATGTGTATGTCCTATTAGTGCGTAATTGTTCAATATTTTAATTTATGTTAAAGACACGCAAACATGTTTCAAAGAAAAGTTATATGGATTTAAAAAATACATATTTTAAAAATATTTTTAGATATATACAGGGTGCTACATTTTTGCTTGGTATATTTTTAAAATAGAACATGTATTTTATTTCAATTTTAGAATGGTTTGGTAATACTGTATTCAACCTTAGAATAATTTAAAAAAATATTACAGGTCTGCCAAGCAATTAAATTTTTATAAAATTAGAAAATGATGCAGACCCCAAATTAAATTATCATAATTTAAAATTGTTTAATATACTGACTTATAGCACATTAAAATAACGAATAGTAGTGATAGTGCTGGATTCTTTTAAAGCGAGTGTTTTGAAACATGTCTTAAAATGGTTACTTTTAAGTCAAATTACTCAATTTTTCAAAGGCAGCATTTGATATAATATTTTAGCATACAATTCCTTATAAATATGCATATCCAACGATACCAACATGTTAGAGAATAACATATATACAGAGTGTCTCATCAGTGCGTAATTGATCGATAGCTGTTTTATTATTAGAAATAAGAAAAAAAAATAATATAAAAGTTGTATGACCATATTAAAAATTATTCCTATATATACAGGGTGGTCCATAAACGAGATGTTGACCAAACCTATACATTTTTAAATCAAAACACCCTGCAGGTAGTTATACATATTTGATTGTTTTCACGTCGTCAAATAATTTTAATTGACTTTATTCATTTGCTATGTTCTATATAGAGTGTGACAACACGCGAGGTTACAAATGCTTAAATTTTTTTCAATGGAATACTATATTAATTGGTGACATAACATACAAGGTGTTCCATTTAGAAAATTAAGAAAATCGTGACCATTTTCACACATCCTATATACAACATAGCAAATGAATGAAATTGAAATTATTGTTCGACGATGTGAAAACAGTCAAATATGTATAACTACCTGCAGGGTGTTTTACTTTAAAAATGTATAGGTTTGGTCAGACAATCGTTTATGGATTACCCTGTATATTTATAAATAATTGTTAAATATGGTCATACAACTTTTATTTTAATTTTTTTCGTATTTCCTATTATAAAACTGCTATCGATCAATTACGCACTCATGGGACACCCTGTATATGTGTTATTGATATCGTTGGATATGTTAATTTATAAGGAATTGAATGCTTAAATAATATACAGGGTGTGGCATTTGAAAAAAATTAAATAAATTTAACTTGGAATTAGCCATATTTAAGACTTGTTTTTCAAAACACACTGTAAAAAATAATCCAGTTCTATTACCACTATTCGTTAGCTTACTTTCTTATTACTACATTTAAAAAAAATTTGAAATTATTGTAAACCTACCTAAATAATGATAATTTAATTTGGGGTCTGAATCATTCTCTAATTTCATAAAAAAATTAATTTATTGGCAACCCTGCAATATTTGTTAATAAAATTCTAGGGTTAAATACAGCATTACCAAAGCATTCAAAAACTGAAGAAAAAAACAGAGTTTTCTTTTTAAAAAATATACCGTTTTATTTGTCAGACAAAAACGCAAAACCCTGTATGTCTAAAAATATCTTTAAAATACCTATTTTTGAAATTCATATAATTTTTATTTAGAAATTGTTTACGTGTTTACAACACAAATTAAAATATTGAACAATTACGCACTAATGGGACAACCTGAATATATTATTCACAATATATGCACGCGACATATGTTTGTAATAATTTAATCTCGCGCCGCGTTTATATATTTTATTCATGCGTCTATTAGATATTGTAGTTTACCTAGACCCAACCACAATATTTGCTTCGGCAGTCAACGTGTTTTAAATGCTTTTTTATTAATTTGTTGTTTAATTTGTATTTAGTTATTAATATTTCAAAAATGCTTATTTTTCTTATTGATTAATCTAAAATACGTAATTTTTATTTATAATTGAAAATAGTACTGTAATTCTAAATTGACAAAAAAAGTAGAAATATGAAAACATAAATTACGACTCTACAAATGAAGTAAAATTTTATGATTAATTTCTTTTTTCTTACAAAAACATTATCTCAGCAATATGTCATAAGTTGCATACACACAGTAGGTCTATTTAAGTTGATAACAAATGGAAAACTTTTTTATTATTTATTTTACGAAAAAAAGTTATTCTTCATAAAAATTTATGCATGGTCTAACAGAAAATGCAACCACCCGATAGCAAATTTTATCAGTCGGTTTTACAAGGTTTGTCAAAAAATATAATTTTGCTCTCAAGATAAAATACCTTTATTTTCGACAAACCCTGTATACGACTGATAAAATTTGATATCAGATAATTGAAATTTAAGTTTTAGACCATGCATAATAACTTTTTATGTAAAGTAACTTTTTTTCTAAAATTAATAGACCATGCAATTGTTTATGAAAAATAAGTTTTTTTTTAAATTCTTAAAAAGGTTTTCCGTATGCCGATGCCGCCAACTTACATATAAATGAGATTAAATTTTTTGAAAATAATTTTTACTGATGCATATCTAAATAAATTATTGTTGGTAAATAAGGTACATTTTTCTTTTTTTATTTGGTTCTTTGGCTGTAAGACCTTTCGGTATATACATGGTATTCCATTAAGAATGGGAGCAACTGAAGATTAATAATTGATTAGAAACAAGCCGATTAAACGAAACATCCGTAGGAAAAACATTACTTGTTTCCGAAAAACAGAGTTTTAAAGTTGAAAATCAAAAATTATAAATAGCTACAATTTTTTTATTACTCAGTTTCATTTTACTAAATTCGGCAAACGTTATTGGTGTAATAAAATACATTTATCAGCAAAAAATAAGTTAAATAAGCTTTGCCAGTGGCGTACGTCATGGGCCAGTAACATCTTTTTTCCTCCTAAATTTTAGTCCACTGTCCACTTTTGATGTTTTTTAAATAAAGTTGAGTTAGTTTTTGAGATATTCGCACATATTAGAAAATTCTGAAGTTTTTAAATTTCGATTTTTTTTTATTAAATTTCTAAGAGTGCATTAGTTATTTTAAAAACATCAAAAAATTTAAAATTTTATGTCCAAATAACATTTTGGATAGTGACGTAAAATTTAAGAGGTATGCGGTATTACGTACGAATGCTGTACTTATTTTTTTGCTGATAGGTGGATAATTTGACACCAAAAACGTTTGCCAAATTTAGTAAAATTGTTGTGAGTAATAAAAAAAATAAAGCCATAAATATTTTTTGGATTTTAACACCTTAATTCCGTACCGAGAAACATTTTATCTAAGCATGATTTGTTTAGTTGTCTTATTTTTAATCAGAGAATCGTCAGTTGTTCTGTCCCATTCTTAACGAAACACTATGTATAGTGGGTATAAGTGGTCCCTACGTAATGATACGAAGACCGTTGTCCTTTGTTGACTGGACACAAGAATGCACTACTAAATAAATATACCGACCAGCGTTGCCAGATGAAAAAATAAATATATGGTATCCGACACTTAAAAAAATGGTATTTTACTTACAAAAAATGGTATCTTGAATAATCTTGTTAATACCAAATAATAAAGTTTTACACAAATAAAAATCAAAAGTATAATTTTTTTATTTTAAACTATGATTTAATTAACAAAGTATTATAAGATCCGAGATAAGAGAACAGACGGTAGGGTCATTATAATCTTGCTGAACTGTAATAATAAAATTGTATATACAAATCTTTTAGTAATTTATAACTGTAATCTATAGGAACATATATTATACAATGAGGGCGTATAGGTCGGAATAAATTCGATAATTTTCTGTCTTATAGGAAGTATTTTAATAAAATCCTCTCACTTGTCAATTTTTTTTATTTACAACTGCACATCTTTCGCTACAACGTCATCGATATTTTTTTAAATAGACCACATATTTTTCTTTTCATTTTTGAATTCCCCGATAAAAAATACAGTTTTGTAATCGTCTATTATTGGGCGTATTTTAGTAGAGATGTGAGACCATTCTTGTTACTTGTTAGTAGAGTAGAGATATAATGAATGAAATGAAAATCAAAAAGTTAAAAATATGGTAGTAAAATGGTATCAGTACCTAAAAAATGGTAAAAAAATGGAAAATGGTATCCTCAAAAACTTGCAGGTATCGTAGTAGAAAAAATGGTATAAATACCATAAAAATGGTATACCTGGCAACACTGATACCGACGTGCCGAATCTAATGCAAAAGTTTTATATTTATACCTGTTTCATCGAAAATATTTGTCAAGGTCAAGAACTCGTTTACTTATTTATCGCGTAGTAGCTAGGGGTGATGATTTTTTTATTTTATAACAGTTACCGTTTAGAATTAATAAAATTATTACGCCATCTGTTGAACAAAAGAACTATTAAATATGGAATATTGCTCCATCTGCTGAACAAAAGGATTCTTAATTTATGACACGTAAATGACATCTATCAAAATTAGTTCATGTTACGAATATTGGGGGTGGTACTGTGGTCTTAACACTTCTCATTTAACTAAGGTGTTGGCACAAAGCATGTATCTTCTAGAGACCCCACGCCAATGTTAAACTTTTAAACCAAATTAGCGCCACCTTGTGTTTGGAGCTGGAACTAAAATGACAATTGACAGATGGCGGTAAATTCAAATTGTAATTTTTAGGAGTAGGTAGTAGTTTTAAATTAAATTTAAAATGATTTCCACATAAATTATTTTATAAAATAAAGTATGGAACTAGTAAGTTCGAAACTTTTATTTTACAAAATAATTTAGGTCGATTATACCAAATTTGAAGAATTAATTTGTTATAAGGGGTCTAATGTGGAGAGTTGGTTCTGCATATTTTTATTAAATAAATATAAGATATATCAATAAATAATGAAATAGAACATTCTTAAAATGTTTATTAATAATTAAAATAAATATTATTAGATAAAAATAAATACAAATAATAATACATATTTAACGAATACTTACTTGGAGCAAATAGATATATAATCTCAAATCTTTAAAATACCTATCAATAATTTAAATGTGAAGTAGAGACTAGGATATTACATTTTATTAACACTAAAGTTATATATTTTATAAATGTCTTTTTAACTGAGGACAAATGTAATATAGGTATTGTATTAAAAGGTGAATCCTTTTAACTATTCATTCAATGATAAATAGGTATTTTCCTTCCAAATACAGATGGTGGTATTACTCTCTTTTGTGAAAAATGATTTCGGAATCTAGTCCAGTGATAAATTGATTATCAATTAGTTGTTGTCCCCGTTTGTCTTTTTATGATGCAGATGCATGGTGAATATATGGTGAATCAATGAAGTTTTTCTCGAAGTTTTCAACATAGCACCAAAATTATTGCAAAACACAGTAGGAAATAAAAAAGCGAAACATCACAATTTTGCAAATAACTAAGACGAAACTATAAACAGAAACCAAAAGCCAAAGCTAACAAAAAATCACTAAAATCAGACGGAAAAATGAAACTAACCAAGAACATAAATAAATACACGTCACATCTTTGGAGTCTTTGGTTAAGTTTTTCTTCCATAAGGCTTAAAAATGGAGTAAGAAATCATAATTTCACCAGTAGCCCCATCTAGAGTTTGGAGCAAATAGCATAAAAAATGTCAGTTGTCGGTTTTGACCTTGGTCATTCACGTGGAACCTCTATGTGCTTTGTAGGTGTTGGTGTTTGTTTTTAAAATGATTAAAAGTTGCAAATTATATATATTTTTCATTGTAATAGGGAGTTATTAAAAACATCTAATAATGGGAAGAAAATTGGAAACAAATGTAGGCTATTAATAATTCAAAACCAGTCTGAATACAGACAGAAAAATCAAAATCTTACCAAGAGTAGCTGATAATTTTCTTTTCAAACCTTGAAGTCGATGTTTAGCCTCCTGTTCAGCTGAAGCCACAAAAGGTGTAGGAGTATTAATTATATTACCTTCATCATTGTAATATTCAATATCTAAATCATTGCAAGGTTTTTGTACTACATGATCATGATAACCATCAGGTAATGAAAGAAACAACGTTGGAAAGGCTTCGCACTTCAGACCTCGATGAGTCTCAGGCACTTTTACTTTATCATCAAAATGTCTATCGCATACTAAATAGTTTTTGTGAATTTGTTGTTTAGTTTTATTTTTAAATAATGGGTTTTTAATAGCTGATACCCAAATTTCAAATAATAAAGGATTTAAGTTGGGTCTAGGGAAGCGATGTCTTCTGCTGTGTTGTTCGTAACAATTTGGGACACAGCAATACATTTTAATTTTCCTTTTACATCCAAAAATCGTATCTAAACAAATGGGTAATGAAAACACAAAACACACATAAGTAACTACATATTAAATATTAATTAAGGGGGGTAAAAACACTTAACAATTACTCCACTAAAAGTTCAAATTTTTTGAAAATATACAAATAAAAGAAAAATAAACAAAAACATAACCTCAAATAAGAGAAGAGACGTAAAGAAAAAGAAACCGATTACACAAATACGCTGTTGCCAGATATCAGAAAGTACCAAACAAATTACCGATTGCATTAAAATTATACTTTTATTATTAATTTTTATGTTTTGAACTAATCAATTCGATTTTTCAGAACCTCTAAAAAATCTACAAATTTTAGAGCAGTGACAGATGTCAGCATTCCATTACACATTCTAGACATTTTTTACTGTCTACAATAGACATATTGAACTAAAGTTCAGTGATTTTGTTATAACAATCGATTTGATAACATGGCTTCAAATAAAATTGAAATAAAATCCAAAATATTCTAGAAAAATCAAAATCTTACCAATAGTTGAATCAGATGTAGATATTTCTGATGATTCTCTACTCAAATCTTGTTCTTCGTATGAATCCAGAGCATTAGGTTCAATAACCATATCACTTTGATTTTCATATTCGATTTTTAAACGTAAATCTTCGGTAGCTGAAGGATATCGTAAATCTACACGTTCAAAATGATCAGCACCGTCTAAATCTGAGAGGAACAACGTTGGAATCGCTTCAAACAACAGACCTCGACGACTACCAGGCACTTTGAATTTATTCTCAAAATGTCTGTCACATATCGTATAGTACTCATAAATTTGTCGTCTGGTTTTATTCTTAAACAAGGGATGACGAATATTCATTACCCAAATATCAAATAAGGAAGGATTGGACTCGGGATGAGGCAAACGATGCCTTTTGCTGTGCTGGTCAGGGCAGTTTAGCACATAGCACTTTTTTCTTTTTGTCATTATTTTAAACTAAATATATAGATCGCTATTAAAGAAATGGGAATCAAACCAAATGGTCTACACTTTAGTATAAAAACGACTAAAATAATAACACTTTAAATACATGCAAAGGTAAATAAACAAAACCATAACCTCAAAGAATCTTCTTCTTCTTCCCTTTTCTTGGGCTGTGTCCATGAGACAATTTACCCAGCTAATCTCTAAGAATCAAGCACAATGTTGCCAGATGTCGAAAAGTTTGAAAAAATACAGCATTTAATAAAAAATAAAATTTATTTTCAAAAAATACTATTAATATTTTACTAGGAAAATCCAAACCATAACTATAGTAAATTTTTACAAAAATATTTTTTTTAATCAAAGATTAAAACATGACATATTATATAGTGACAATTAGTTTGACAGAACTATCACTTTTATTTAAAATTTTAAAAATAATAGTAGTTGGGTGTCCAAAATATGAACTGTGATTGTGGATTTAATTTTTTTGCAGTGTTCTCCTTACCTAGAATGGATATGAAGTATATATTCGTTCAGTTGAACGCCGCGCTATTTTTTATTTATATTCTTAGGGGTGGTAATAACAAGGTTCTAAGACTTTTTTTAACGGAAAGGCTTACTCATCATCATCTTCATTTTTTTACTCTTGTAAAAACACCGTATTTCGCACAGTTTCGAAGGAAAAATTATTTTCTCAAGGATAACCGATATTCTTAGTAAAAGCACAGCTTATACAATACAGCTAAAACACCTCTTGGCGGCAACGGTTTGCGTCGATTTCGTCGCGCATCGCTTAAGCTCCGCCTTCGAAGGGAAAAGACGGTTTTGGCGTTCAGAAGTGTACTTAGGTAAGGTGTTGAGTCGTGCATATAATTTCGTTGATTGTATAATTTCGTGGAGCCTATAATTTCGTAGATTTTGTTTGAGTTAAAGGTACTGTTATTATTTTGGTGACTCTTTAGCTGTGAGTAGAATGAATGAAAAAAAAGACATCATTCTGTTTATGCAGTCAAAAGCTGTTTTAATAAGGGTTATACCTGCAATAAAACATTCTTTAGTTTTCCCAAGGACCCAAACCGATAAGTACCACATTATAAGAAATTTTCATTGTTAAAAATATAATTTATACAGGGTGTCCCATTAGTGCGTTATTGTTCATTATTTTGTTGTAGACACGCAAGAAAGTTTTAAATAAAAGTTATATGGATTTGAAAAATACCTACATATTTTAAAAATATCTTTGGATATACAGGGTGTCACGTTTTTGCCTGGCAAATTAAAATGTATGTTTTTTAAATGGAACACCTTGTATTTTATTTTATGATGAAATTATTAACACCCTAAATTATTGTAAAGACGAATTGCTACAGAAAATTTTTATCAGGTATGTGTGTGGTTACCTTTTATTAAAAGCCTTGCGGATCCACTCCTGCGATACCTGTCTTAAATATAACAAAGATCACGTTGAAATAGATGATTTTTCTTTTTATTGCTTTTTAAAGGCATATGATAACGCCAATTCAGATACATTTGGAAATCTGCAACTGTCAAATGATGAATTTGTAGAACTTATATTCAATATTGAAAAGATATTTCAAAATAATTTTGAAGAATTGGCTACAAAAAATAACATTTGTACCACACTTTTAGAATTAATTAACCCAATACCCTTTAGTCATCCATGCTAACATTTTCCAAAAGAATAACTTATTTTATTGTATGTTTAATCTCAATAACTAAAAAATATACTGACAATTAGTTTGACAGAATTGTCATTTATTTAAAATTTTAAAAATAATAGCAGTCGGTTGATCAAAATATGAACGGTGATTGGCGAATTTATTTTTTTTTGCAGTGTTCTCACTACCTAGAATGGATATGAAATATATTCGTTCAATTGAAGGCAATAGCATACTTTTTCGTTTTGTAATCTGTGCATGGATATTAGCCAATCTACGCACATACTACAAAACGAAAAAGTATGTTATTGTGTTCAACTACGAATATATTTCATATCCATTTTAGGTAGTAAGAACACTTTAACAAAATTAAATCTACAAATCACAGTTCATATTTTGGTCACCCAACTCCTATTATTTAAAATTTTTTAAATAAGTGACATTTCTGTTAAACTAATTGTCAATATATATTTTAGTTATTGATATTAAATATACATTAAAATTTTTGTGCAGACTCGATAAATAATAGCATTTTTGTTTCTATTGTGTCCACATTTAAAAAAAATAAATTTTAATTAAACTACATGATACTAATTTAATTACGAGTATTAAAACGAAAGTCCTGAAAGTTTCGGTGAAGATGAAGACAGAGCATCTGCCTTCCACGCGAAAAGTCAGGGATCGAATCTAGGCCGAGGACTAATTAATTTTTCATGTTTATTTTATTTTATAAATTAGTCAACTTCGTAAATTATTTTAAAATTAGTTATTTTGTCTAAATAACCTAAAATAATTTTTTAAATTTGTAGATTTTCGTTAGTGGGTCGTAGAAAAAATATACTGACCATATCGAGTAGATTGTTCATATCACAATCAGACGATTGAGTTCTCCGCCTACGACGTCGTGCTCAAACTTCGTCTTTGTGTGATATGGCTATCATATCCACCCTTGTTGAACAAACTACAATTTATTTGTTTTCTTGGTTTAAGTTTTACATCAGAAATAGGAATTGAATTAATTTACTTTTCAAGTTTTCTTGTAAAAATCGATATTACTTTCTCCAAGTACAAATTTAGTACCTACCTAAAATAAGTACTAATTATGTTATATCTTGTAATATTGTAATTCAAATTTCACATTACAATAAAGTTTTAAAATTTCCTACTTCGGTATGGTCAGATAAAAATTGAATATATTATATTAATAAAAACTGTCAAAGTATTACTTCTACAAATCTGTATTTCAATTAATAAGAATACATCTAAATATAACCAATATTGTTAAAACAAAAGCACACATTCTTTATAATTCCAAAATACCATAGAGTTCCCAGACCTCAGTCGAAGCATTCGTTTATCTAGGTATAAACCCTTTGCGCGAAGAGTAACACTTGCCAGAGACACGGGGGTACCACTTGATTTGCATCCACGAGCGTGACACAATTCTTTAACAATTGAAGCCCTTGGTGTAAAATGGATCCAAGCCACAATTTGTCGTGAAGTGACTGTTTTAGCTCAAAACATTTGTTAACGAGGATTTTACTAGCCATGTATAAATTATTTTACCTCTAATCCGAAAGATGTGCTATTTTTCGTAATATTTATATTTAAATAATTTTTTTAATTATATTTGAAAGATTTAAAACAAATTAAAAATGTAATTTCCCAAAACTTACTTAATATGGCATGTGACCAACCTTATTACGCCAAGGTTTTCAATTTTTTCAATAATAAAAAAATTGTTTAATCCGGGCCCGACTTTTCCCTTGAATCTAACAGAGATAGCACCATTCCGTCTTGCTTGGTTCTCGACCGCCAGATCAAAGACGCCGACACGGAGTTGTGGAGCTGTATTGTATAAGCTGTGGTAAAAGTTTAATAAAATTGTAATACAAAATTCATTTGGCGTTGGACACAAAGACAAAATATTTTATATAACAAGTGTTCAATGTGACCTCCATCTTCTTAGATTGTGCAAAAAATTCGTAAAGCAAATCAAACGAGTGGGAAAGGGCTTTGCGCACACACTTATTCTACAACTCACAAATTTTAGAGCTTAGCAGAATGTTATGCATGTTTTCTATATAATAATGTTTTCACAATATGTATAACCGTTATCTGTATTTATACAGGCTCAAATCCAATTTTTTTTATATATATTTAAAATTATCGTATATATACGGTAATTATCATAAGTGCGGCAACGCTGCACAAATATAAAACGCAACACGTGGAAGCAAATGTCAGGATATATCACATGTGACATGTGACATGTCACAGTTGTCAATTATTTAATTAATTTAATAGGTCATTTTAGAAATATGAATTTAGTTACGTACTTATTTCTTTTTATATAAATGTGAAATGATAAGATTTTATTTATTTTAAAAGCATTAAACAACATTTAAATCTCACCTATTAAATAATATCCCATGCAACCACCAGCTAGGGCTCCAAGCAGAATAACATTTCTATTGATGGTAGACTTTTCATTTTCAAATTTACTTTGTTTATTATTGAACGAATTGAAATATTGCACAGCTTGAAATCCGGTCCTATTAATTAATATTCCTGTAGGAATACACCTAAAATTAAAAACAGGAAATTATTATAAAATATAAATAGAAATGTTATTAAAAACCTTTTTAATATGGCCTGCATCTTAATTTGTACTATTATAACAAAAATGTTTCTTGTAAAGTAGTTTGCATTGATTGGGTTGTATGTATAATGTACAATTTCCTTATATAGAACTTAAATTGTTGACTATAGAGAGCATAATACTTTAAAAACCATTAATTCTTATATATAATTAAAAAATAAAACACTGGTTCAATTTTATCACGAGATATGATGTGATAAAGAGATAGTAATTACGAAAACTTAACCTATCATAATCATTGACTTGTGCTATTGCTAAAAAATAAATAAATATACAATACAAACAGAACAGGCAATAGTTATTTATAAATAAATTCAATTCAAAACAGACCCTTTTAAAAATTTTGCGCTTTGACTTGACAGTTGTTTCAACTACGTTTCTATTATCCGAATATAAATTCAATCTAACTTGTGATTTGTTGAATAATAATACGTAATTCGTGATTAAACAATTTGATTGGTTAAAACAATTTCACTATAACCGCAATCCAATAAAAAGCCCTATACAGTTTTTTATTTGAAAACGGGTTCAACGTCGAACGTCAAATGCCAGCAAACGTCAAGTTTTGTTGACATGTCAGTGTCATTTCTATTTGATGTTTTTCTAATTTTTCCATTTTCTCTTTTCATTTTTATTCTTTAATCAATATCAAAAGAATGTAAACTTAATTAGAAAAAAGAATTGATGCTTATTAAATACAAGATGGCATTTAACGGGCTGCAATTTTTAGTTAAAGAAGAACCAAGAGATTCTGATCTTAATGATCAAAATGCTGTAAATATTGGAATTAAAGTTAAAGAAGAAGGAGATTATTTACCAGACAATCCCGATTTAGTGGAATTAGGAAACGCTACAGATGGATTTAATGCCCAAGAATGGCGAGAAGGTTGTCATAATAGTGGTTTAAATAATACACATAGTAGTATTCCATTTGGATCAACTGGTGAAGTCAAATTCAATGCTCAAGAATGGACTAATAGATGTTTAAATAACTTGTCTAATAATGTACATAATACTTTGTTAAACCCTAGCACTTCAGGTACTTATAGCAACAGTTTTTTAAGCAAATTTACAGTTTGTTAAATTCTTACAGGTACTGAAATAAATCGTGATAATGATATAACAGAAGAACCAGACATGCCTCATGATCTGGCAACTAAAACTTTACAACATTTCATGTTAAATGAAAGCTCTGAGGATAGTACTCAAGATACGAATCGTACTGATTCTGACCAAGATTGGACTGAACATAAAGATGGTTATTTTTCTTGTAAAATTTGTAAAATACGGTGTCCAGATGAATTTTATCTGCAGCACCATTTCAAGTCTAGAAGATTAGGTGATAAAAGTTATAAATGTTGTGGTTGTAATAAAATATTCAGGTGAGTAATTAAATATCTTTAAAAGGTAGTTTTTAGGATCTATATTTATTTATTGGTAAGCCTTTAACGGGTAATTTTGAGCAAAGCAGTCTATTGATATTTTCAACAATACTTGCAAAATATTTATTAAAGTTTTGTGTTATTTGTAAGCTATCTTAATAGTTTAAAAGTATACAGTTTGACAGGTGTGAAGTTATCCACATCAACAAATGTACACTGAGAAAAATACAGCTCCATTGTAATAGTCATATAACTTAATTCAAATGACATCTAGAGGCATTTCATTTGCAGATTCCAATTGAGGAGGTTTCAATACATAATAATCATAACCGCAATTAACTTTTGTTCCGTCTGAGGGGGTGCAATTGGGGTGAAATTTAAAAAAAAGCATAGAAGTCACAAAAGGCTTTGTACACCTTTCTGCTTGGGATATGTTATGTAGTTTGCTCTTTTCTTCATCCCTGATACCATGCTGGAGTTTGTCGAGCCGTCTGAAGGGGTGCATTGGGGGTGAAATTTAACAAAAAATCATAAAAGTCACAAATAGCTTTATACACCTTTTTGCTTGGAATATGTTATGTAGTTTGCTCTTTTCTTCATGCCTGATACCATACTGGAGTTTGTCGAGCCGTCTGAGGGGGTGCAATTGGGGGTGAAATTTTAAAAAAATCATAAAAGCCACAAATGGCTTTGTACACCTTTCTGCTTGGGATATGTTATGTAGATGACTATTACAATGGAGCTGTATTTTTCTCAGTGTACATTTGTGAATGTGGATAACTTCACACCCATTACAGTTTGAAAATCTTTATCTCTATTAATTAGTTTTTTTACTGTTTTTCACATTTCTTTTTCTATTGTTTCTAAAGCGATCTACATAATCAAAATAATACTGCTTTTTTTTTAAACAGATTAGGTACACCTTTAGGTATTCAGGCAACTGTGGCAATCAAATACAAAACTCAAATAGTAATGGATATGTTTAACAATTAAAAATAAAAGAAAAATACATGTGCTGTAAAAAATACATTTTTTAAATTAACCACACCCTAGTCTCCAAATGGTTTAATTCAATGCCCTTATTTTCTATTTGTAAAATCTCAAAATTTTCTGTAAAAGAATGATTTTCAGCCAAAATATGATTTGAAAAAATAGAATTATTAGATATAGATTTATAATTTTTTGTAATTTTATTTAATTGTAGTGTACTATAGCTTTGCGGAGAAATATACAGGGTTGTTACTTTCTACATTAAACAGTATTGCTATCTCGAAAACTGTAAGAGTTACAAAGTCAGTTAAATGGGAAAAAAGTTGTACTTTTGCAAGACTAATTTAGTGATGTTTTAAAACCGAGAACATCAGGATCGGTTTCCAAGATATTTAAGGAAAACCAAATGACTCTATTTGCGATTGTATTGCCTTTATTTTACAAGTTAGAAAAAAATTGTAATTATATTTTTTATTGGGTATTAAGTAGCGCTTAATTTACCGTAGACAGATTTTTTATATAACGTTTCGTTTCTGGAGGACCACCATCAGGTATATTTTTTGAATACGGGCCTGTATTTTTTATTCTATTTTAAAAAAGTACTTTTAATCCCAAATTCAACCATGTAATACACATTAGTAGTTTAGGACGTTTTGATCATTTTTATTATGTACCTGAAGTTCTAAACATTTTTTTTTTTTAAACGAAAATATAAAAAAAAATCTAGGATTGGCTAACATCTCGCTAGAAATCATCACATAGCTTACCTGCGATTACCAAAAGGTAGACAAAATTATATTTTGCTGACAAACCCGAAATTAACCCCTACACTTAGATAAACTCACCCCGTAAAGATGTAAAAGCTACAAAGAAACATAATCAGGGGTAATATCGTCCTAGAAATTCGAGAAAATCTTCCTCGTGCTAACCAAAGGCTATAAAAAATCATTAACGACGTAGGGCCACGGGAACCACCCCTTTATTTAAATAAACACCCTTTAAAACCTCAAAAAATTCAAAAAAATTCAAACAAGCCTAGTATCGACCTGAAAATTTATAATAATCTCTCTCGTGGTACCTTCAAGCTTGAAAAAAATAATCATCGACATAGGCCCACGGGAACCACCCCCTTTACTTGAATAAACACACCCTCTAAAACCTTAAAAAATTCAAAAAAATCCAAACAAGCCTAGTATCGACCTGAAAATTTATAATAATCTCTCTCGTGGTACCTTCAAGCTTGAAAAAAATCATCATCGACATAGGGCCACGGGCACCACCCCTTTAATTAAATAAATACACCCTTTAAAACCTTAAAAAATTCAAAAATATTCAAACAAACCTAGTATCGACCTGAAAATTCGTGGCAATCTTTCTCGTGACACCTTCAAGCTTGAAAAAAATCATCATCGACATAGGGCCACGGGAACCACCCCTTTACTTGAATAAACACACCCTCTAAAACCTTAAAAAATTTAAAAAAATCCAAATAAGCCTAGTATCGACCTGAAAATTTATAATAATCTCTCTCGTGGTACCTTCAAGCTTGAAAAAAAATCATCATCGACATAGGGCCACGGGAACCACCCCTTTAATTAAATAAACACACCCTTTAAAACCTTAAAAAATTCAAAAAAATTCAAACAAGCCTAGTATCGACCTGAAAATTCGTGGCAATCTTTCTCGTGATACCTTCAAGCTAAAAAAAAATCATCATCGACATTGCGCCACGGGAACCACCCCATTACTTGAATAAACACACCCTCTAAAACCTTAAAAAATTCAAATAAATTCAAACAAGCCTAGTATCGACCTGAAAATTTATAATAATCTCTCTCGTGGTACCTTCAAGCTTGAAAAAAATCATCATCGACATAGGGCCACGGGAACGACCTCTTTATTTAAATAAACACACCCCTTAGAATCTAAAAAAATTCAAAAAAATTTAAACAAGCCTAGTATCGACCTGAAAATTCATAATAATCTCTCTCGTGGTACCTTCAAGCTTGAAAAAAATCATCATCGACATAGGGCCACGGGAACCACCCCTTTACTTGAATAAACACACCCTCTAAAATCTTAAAAAATTCAAAAAAATCCAAACAAGACTAGTATCGACCTGAAAATTTATAATAATCTCTCTCGTCGTACTTTCAAGCTTGAAAAAAATCATCATCGACGTAGGGCCACGGGAACCACCCCTTTATTTAAATAAACACACCCCTTAGAATCTAAAAAAATCAAAAAAATCCAAACAAGCCTAGTATCGACCTGAAAATTCATAATAATCTCTTTCGTGGTACCTTCAAGCTTGAAAAAAATCATCATCGACATAGGGCCACGGGAACCACCCCTTTACTTGAATAAACACACCCTCTAAAATCTTAAAAAATTCAAAAAAATCCAAACAAGCCTAGTATCGACCTGAAAATTTATAATAATCTCTCTCGTCGTACTTTCAAGCTTGAAAAAAAATCATCATCGACATAGGGCAACGGGAACCACCCCTTTATTTAAATAAACACACCCCTTAGAATCTAAAAAAAATCAAAAAAAATTTAAACAAGCCTAGTATCGACCTGAAAATTTATAATAATCTCTCTCGTGGTACCTTCAAGCTTGAAAAAAATCATCATCGACATAGGGCCACGGGAACGACCTCTTTATTTAAATAAACACACCCCTTAGAATCTAAACAAATTCAAAAAAATTTAAACAAGCCTAGTATCGACCAGAAAATTCATAATAATCTCTCTCGTGGTACCTTCAAGCTTGAAAAAAATCATCATCGACATAGGGCCACGGGAACCACCCCTTTACTTGAATAAACACACCCTCTAAAATCTTAAAAAATTCAAAAAAATCCAAACAAGCCTAGTATCGTCCTGAAAATTTATAATAATCTCTCTCGTCGTAATTTCAAGCTTGAAAAAAATCATCATCGACATAGGGCCACGGGAACGACCTCTCTATTTAAATAAACACACCCCTTAGAATCTAAACAAATTCAAAAAAATTTAAACAAGCCTAGTATCGACCTGAAAATTTATAATAATCTCTCTCGTGGTACCTTCAAGCTTGAAAAAAATCATCATCGACATAGGGCCACGGGAACCACCCCTTTACTTGAATAAACACACCCTCTAAAATCTTAAAAAATTCAAAAAAATCCAAACAAGCCTAGTATCGTCCTGAAAATTTATAATAATCTCTCTCGTCGTAATTTCAAGCTTGAAAAAAATCATCATCGACATAGGGCCACGGGAACCACCCCTTTATTTAAATAAACACACCCCTTAGAATCTAAAAAAATTCAAAAAAATTTAAACAAGCCTAGTATCGACCTGAAAATTTATAATAATCTCTCTCGTGGTACCTTCAAGCTTGAAAAAAATCATCATCGACATAGGCCACGGGAACCACCCCTTTATTTAATTAAACACCCTTCAAAACCTTAAAAAATTCAAAAAAATTTCACTATCTCATTATGGTTTCGACAATCGCCATTTCTTGTACAAATAGTACATTTCTGTCTAAAACATTAGCAAATTACCAGTTATTAAAGTATAGTCCAGCATTACGATCGTTATTTGGTAAATTTACCCACAATTTTTTCCCTGTATTTCCATTATGATGATACATACTACTGTGATGATGGCTAATAATAACATTGCAATTGTAAATACTACCAGTTGTATGATAACTTAAGGGTATTCTTGGCTCAAGAACATTTTTGATATCGAGTTTGAAGACGAAAATTTTTTTGGGTTAAGTATATATTTTTCTTGAAATTTGATTCTTTAATCAAAGATTAATTTCTTGTTTGAAGTTAAACATTTTTTGAAAGAAGAGTTGATTTGCTACCGGCAAGTAGGATTACTAGCCCAAAAAAAAATTTCTTGCCACAAGAAAATTCTGTTCTTGATGTTCAACTAATCCCCCACTCCAAAATCCAGCAGTGAAAGTCCGGCCTGAGTTTAAACTTATGTAGATAAAAATAGCTTTTTCGT